TACTTCTAGGTATAGTCTTTGTAACTCCCACCCAACGACTGGGTGGGACCATGCAGATTGAGTATGTTCTCTTTTTTTCTGTGGGTCTGGGTAAGAGAAGGTGGGGGAAGATGCTGATAGGATTATGTGATTCAGCTGTGAGTGAGTGTTAACATGGTCAATTGTAATTGTAAAAACTTGGAACCCTAATGTGGAGATTGTCCAATTTTCCCCACCTGCTGGGGATCAAATGAGCCATCTCAGCAGCAGAAGGGAAGAATCTCACTACCAACAAGAAAGAAAAGCCAGGCAAGACCATAGTCTCTGGGGACATGGAGGCCAACTGACATATTTGTTGTGTGTCATGGAGTCATTTGGACTCATAGGGGTCCTGCACAGGATTTCCGAGCTTGTAAATCATTATGGGAGCAGATATCCTCATCTTTCTCCCATGGAGCCTCTGGTAGATTCGAACTGCTGACCTTTCGGTTAGCAGCTCAGCTCATAATCCACTATGCTACCAAAGTTCCTAAATTGACATATTGTCCACAACACAATGCTCTACATCATTTTGGCGAGTAGCAACTAGAGTGTTAAAAGCTCATGAACAACTATCTAAGGTACAACTATTGGTCTCTCCTTGTGCAAAGGAAAGAAAAGACACTTGGATACAGTTAGTAAATCGACTAATGGAACACATGAACATCAGTCTCCATGACCCTGAGACCAGAAAACTAACTGCTGTCTAACTACCACTACCAACTGCTTTAGAAAGTACCACATTAGAAGATCCTGGCTAGTGTGAAAGAAACTATGAAACAAAACTCAAAATCATAAAAAAGACAAGACTTACTGGTCATAAAGAGGAAAGAACTCTGAGGCTATGGCCTTTGGTCACCTTCAAGTCTGGAACTGAACTTACCCCATGACTCAATTTTCAGCCAAGCAGTAGTAGGTAAAGGATGACGCCAACACTAGTGAGGTATGCACACTGTAGAATCGTCAACCATTCTAAACCAAAAGGGCAGCATTTACCTAAGGGCAAAATTCTGAAAGGTTGAGAAAGAAAAAGGAATGAAAACAAGAATCCCAGAGAGGAAGTGGGATAAATGACATTACCTTGAAAGGACTGTAATCATTGAGATTGTATGATGTGTGGGATGTAAAACTGATGAGCTGCTTTGTAAACCTTCACTCAATTCACACACAAAAATGGTTTTTCAAAGAAAGAAAGAAGAAGTGGAGTGGAGCGAGTCCTTTGGACCTTGGTATTGTTGTCTGCTGAACCTCTTGCTTAGATCCAGGAGACAGGAGACGGAGAGCTGTGACAATTGATGAGGAGCAGAGGAGCTGTGACAATTGATGAGGAGCAGAGGAGCAGTGACAATTGATGAGGAGCAGAGGAGCTGTGACAATTGATGAGGAGCAGAGGAGCTGTGACAATTGATGAGGAGCAGAGGAGCTGTGACAATTGATGAGGAGCAGAGGAGCAGTGGCAGCAGAGCCAGAGCACAAGAGAGAGTGGCGGGCTTCCCAACCCTTGGAGCAAGTAAAGTTGAGGGTCTTGTGACAGGTAACTCACATGTAGAGTGGGGTGTCTCCAGGTTCACCACTGGGGAGTTAGGTTTGCTGATCTATGGAGCACCTTTGGCAGACACTTAATGGTGTGGCGCTATGGGTTAATGTGCCAGACTACAAAACCGTTTGAACTGCAAGGTTGGTGGTTCAAGCTCACCAACTGCTCCTTGGAAACCCTATACAGGGTCGCTATGGGTCGGAACCGACTCCACAGCACTTAACAACAACAGCATCAGCTATCTGGGCAACTGACTGGAAATGATCCATATTTATGCCCATTCCAAAGAAAGTTGATCTAACCAAATGTGGAAATTATCTAACAATATCATTAATATGACGTGCAAGTTTTGCTGAAAATAATAAAAAAAACAGTTGCAACAGTTTATAGACAGGGAGATGCCAGAAATTCAAGCTGGATTTAGAAGAGGATGTGGAACAAGGGGCATCATTGCTGATATCAAATGAATCTTGGTTTAAAGCAGAGGATACCATAAAAATATTTACCTGTGTTTTATTGACTGCATAGAAAGGCATTCAAGTATGTATGTGGATCACAACAAATTATGGATAACACTGAAGAATGGGAATTCCAGAACACTTAATTGCAATCATGCAGAACCTATACATTGACCAAGTGGCAGTTATGCAAATAAAACAAAGGGATATTGATTTAAAATCAGGAAAGGTGTGCGTCAGGATTGTATTCTTACATCATACTTACTCAATTTGCATGCTGAGCAAATAATAGCAGAGGTTGGACTACATGAAGACCAGATATATCAGGATTGGAGGAAGAATCATTAACAACCTGCGATATGTAGATAATAGAACTTTGCTTGGTGAAAGCAAAGAAAACTTGAAACCCTTGCTGATGAAGATCAAACTCATCATATTGGATTACACCTCAATCTAAAGAAAACAAAAAGCCTCACAAATGCACCAACAAGCAACATCATAATAAATGGAGAAAAGATTGAAGTTGCCAAGGATTTCATCTTACTTGGATACAAAACCAAAGACCATGGGAGAAACAGAAGTCAAGAAATCAAATGACATATTGCATTGGGCAAATCTGGTGCAAAAGACTTCTTTAAGTGCTAAAAAGTAGAGATGCACTAGGAGGACTAATGTGTGCCTGACCTAAATCATATTTTCAAAAAAATTTTTTCTACTTGCAAAAGTTGAATTAGGAAGATCAAAAATTGATGCATTTGAATTATGATGTTGGTGAAGAATATTGAATGGATCATGGACTGCCAGAGGAACTAACAAATCTGTCTTGGAAGAATTACAGCCAGAATTCTCCTTAGAAGCAAGGAAGGTGTCTCGTGTACTTTGGGCATGTTATTAGGAGGGACCAGTCTCTGAAGAAGAATATTTTGCTTGATGAAGTAGATGGCCAGTGAAAAGAGGAAGACCTTCAACAAGATGTATTGACAACAATGTCAATTGACAACAAAGTGAAACAACAATGAGCTCAGACAGTGAAGATTGTGAAGGTGGTGCAGGGCCAGGTAGGGTTTCATTTTGTAGTGCATAAGGTCATTATGAGTTGGAACCAATGTGACAACACCTAACAACTACACCAGCTGCTCCTCGGAAACCCTATAACAGGTCGCTATGGGTGGGAACCGACTCAACAGCACTTAGCAACAACAACAACCAACAAAGTGTGTGTTGGAAACGCCCTCAGTTCAGCCTGAGGCAAGCTCCTATAAATTTGGGACTTCATACCACACTGGCCAGCATTGACTTTCCTTCCAGTAATATATCACACTGAGCAACTCTTCTTCAAGATCCTCATGGCTTCTACTTTCAAATAGAAATGACAGAGAACCACTAGGGGCTGCTTTGGGGTCCGTGCAGGCTGCCTGAAAGAAGTGGGTAGTTTTCCATACAAAGAAGAAATATTAAGACAGGAAAGAAGGCGCAGAGATAGGAAGTAGCCCATTCGCTTAGATTGGTGAGGATCCTGGAGGATACCTCTAGAGCTGGCTGGAGAGCAGGTTGGGGATGAGGCTGGTTTAGCTAGCAGCACCAGGATGAGGAATTTGGTCAATTGCAGGACCTAAGTCAAATGGAGATTGAGCGCCCCCTGGGAGCAGAACTCGGTAGTTGACGCTGGAGAACCCACAAGGGAGGGGAGGATCAAGATGGGGATAGTAGACTACAGGCCAGTTTTCTCTATGTCCGCTAACTCCATCCGGCATCTGTTTTTGGGATTCTAAGCTGGAGGGAAGCTCAGAAAAGAAACTATCAACACGTTCCCGTGCCAGACCCTGAGTTGGGCACTTTCCTGAACATTGCTTTATTTAAACCTCCTGGTGTGGCGTTATAGGATCAGCACTGGACTACGAAGCACAAGGTCGGCAGTTCAAACCCACGAGCTGCTCCTGCTCCTCGGAAACCCTATACAGGGGTCGCTATGAGTCGGAACCGACTCGACGGCACTTAACAACAACAACTATGCTTCGAGGTAGGTAACATTATTCTCATTTTTCAGATTAGAAAAATCGAGGTTTAGTGACTTCCCAAGGAGAGGCGGGGATTTTGTCTTAACGAGCCCAAGAGATTTGGGGAAACAAGCATAGGTGTGAGGTGCTCAGGCTTTCCAAGGGGCAAAAAGCATGACGGTACTTTCGGGGAGAACCACGCCTCTCTTGTCGCTACAGTGCTGGTTGTTGTTGCTTTCCTTCGAGAGCCTTCCCGTGAAATGTTACGTCCTCACCTCACCGGGAGGCGGACACTGTAAAATTCCTAGATACCCGGCTGTCCTTCTCCTCTACTGGCACTATTCCTCACTGGTGACATAAATTTTCCTTCACCGTTAGCCTGTGAAAACTTGGGACTACATTTCCCGACAGGCCGTTCAGAATGGGATGGCAGGGAAAGAAGGGAAGAGGCTTTCTGTTTCCGTCCGCTCGCAATTTGGCTAGTAGGCGGTGATGCACGTTTCTACCGCCAATGTCTTTTCTCTGAAAAGCTAAGAAAGGGACTACGTTCCCCAGCGGGCACTAGCGCAGATTAGGATGCCATCTTTACTGTAGTCCTTTTCTCTAGTTCTGTAAGAAATCGCTTTAGCGTGTGGACTACAAATCCCACATCTCCGTCTTCCCTTTCCTTCGGGCTCTATCTTTGCTGGTAGTCCACGCCCCGTTCCCTTTCCATTGTCTGTTGAAGATACCAAAGAGGAGCCAGCAAGACTGCAACTCCCGTCATGCTTTGCATTACTTGGTGGGGGAATTTTGATATTACAGGCAGGCGAGGTGCCCAAGGTGGTAGACTGAAGCGATGGGGAGAGGCTAGGTAACTGCCATCTTAATGGTAGTCTCAATATACTCTGGGTTGTACCATTCCTAAGGAATACCATAAGGCTAAAAAACTACTGTTCCCATCCACCTCTTAAAATTGACTCCTAGTCAGGTGTACGCCCCTCTTTCGCCATCTTGTTTGTAGTCCTTGTTTCTTTTCACCTTTCCATTGTTCCTGACAAGTAGAAATGGCAGCGGGAAGGCAGCAGATGGACTGCGAGTCCCGTCAGGTACCACACACGCGGAGGGTTGTGGACAGGAAGGCGTGTGAATGCCTGGGAAGGAGGTCGGGTCGGGGGAGAAAGCCATCTTGTTTGTAGTCATCGTTACCGCTCCTACTCTATGTTGTGCAACTGGAAGCCTCGGGGCAAGTGGACTATAACTCCCGGCATCCTAGGCTCCCGAATTGGGACACTCTCTGTCATCTTGTTTGTAGTCCTTGCTGCCCCCAACGTTCCCTTATTCTTTCGGTAGCACAAGCGTCCGCAGGACTACGACTTCCGTCGTGCCCTGCGCGTGCTCGTCCTGGATCGTGGCGGTGGTGTGGGAAGGAGGGGGCAGGGGGCGGGGTTCCTCTGGGAGAAGGAGGGAGTTAAGAGGAGGAGGAGGAGGAGGGAAGGATGAGGGAGGGGGGAGGAGAGGAGGAAGGAGGAAGGAGCTGAAGAGGGATGAGAGAGGCGGCCTGGGCCCCGGGCCGAAACAGCGCAGGGCCGGGGGACCAGGGGGGTTGAGAGACCCCAATTGCCCCCTCCCCCGTCCCCTGCCCTTCTCCATCCTTTCCTTCCATCCCTCCCGCTTGAGGGGGAGATTTATTCAAATTTTATTTAAATCCCTGTATCCCGAGGGGCGCGCGCTGGGGGGGAGGGGAAAGGGGGCGGGGGCGCGCGAGGGTTGGGGGGCGGGGCCGGAGCGGCTTCCTTCATCCCCCTCCCCTCGCCCCGTAGCCGTAGGGCAGGGGGGGTCGCAGTCCAGGGGCGGGCCCAGGGGAGGGGGGCAGGTTACAACGACCCCCCCCTCCCCGGGAACCGGCGGTGGGCGGGGCTTGAACCCCGGAAACGGTGGGGGGTGCTCAGGCCTGGCCCTGGACCCTAGCGCAGTGGGGGCCGGGAAGGGGCCAGTTAAAGGGCCGGGGGCGCTGGGGAGAGGCGGGGCGGGGTGGGGGGAGGGGAGTTGGGACTCGGACCCCGGACTAATTGGGGCCCGGGCCGAAGCTGAGTACCCTGCGGCCGAGGAGCCCCCGCTGGCCTGGGGGGGCTGAGGGACTGAGCCCCCCGGAGCAGGACCTCCCCCTGGAAGGGCCGCGCCGCAGCCCGTGGGAGGGCCTCGCCCCCGGCGCCCCCCAGCTCCACTCGCCGCCGTCCCGGCCTCCGCCGGAGGGAGGGGCCGAGCGCCCTCGGGGGGCCGTGGACCCCGGCGTTCTGAGTGTTCCACGCCCCGCGCCGCCCGGCCCCCCCGCCGCCGATGGCCGCCGACCCGCCGGGAGCAGCCGAGAAGGGAGAGATGGCTCCCGGGACACGTGTGAGGTGGGTTCTTGTGGCTCCTCCTCACCCCTAGTCCTGGGCAGCTCCCACTCCCATTCATCCGCCTCCCCGCCCCCAGTCTCACCTCTTTGCTCTAAACGCCCCATCTGCAGCTCTCCTTCCTATTACCTTTCAACTCTGGGGAACCGGCTTGCCTTCCTAGACCCAGCTTCCCCTTGCAGACCCCCCACCCTCGCCTGCAGTTGCTGCCCTCCTGGCCCCTTCCCCACATGGATGGGTCTGGAAATCCCTGGAAAGAGGGAAGCTGGGGTAAGACTCTGGCCGGGAAGAGACCCTCCAGGCCTACAGAGTCCGTGTGGGATCTTGGAGGATCTGGTTTCCATGGGAAGGGGAACCCAAGGGATTCTAGACAATTAGGGGTGGAAAGAAACGAGCCCACCCTGAGCTTTGTGGAGATGTCAAGCTGGATTCTAGAATCCCCCGGAATCTGGGAGAGTGTTTTGAAGAGGAGGGACCTCTGTGAGGAGCCAAGGGTGTGAGATCTTGGGCTGAGGATGGACTCTGAAGAAGCAGCTCAGTGAGCTTTCAGAGCCCTGGGAAGTTGGGGTGGCGGTGGGGGTGGAGAGTGGATCTTTAGGGATGGGGGAGTGCAAGGATTCCATTGAATCTGGTGATGGTATCTAGGTTTTAAAGGAAGAGAGATTGGGTGGGGTCTGCCTTGGGGGTAAGGTGAGTCCTGTGTGTGAGAAGCAGAAAGGAGAGAAAAAGTGGAGCTTCCATCCCGGAATCTCAGGGTATGTTAGAGGTAATCAGAGGGATTTCAGGATGGGGTGCATCTGGAGCACCCTGCATTTGGAGAGCTGGGGGAAGAGTTGGGATCTCTCTGAAGTAACTCCACAAGCCCTGGCCTTTCTAAGGAGGATTGGTGTGGAGATGTCAGAGCCCAGTGCCCAGTGGCTCTTCCTGCCCCCTGGGCTAGGGAAGAGGAGGGCTGGGAGGAAGTGTCACAGGAGTGAGGTTAGGGAGCCAGCTCTTTGGAAGCAGCTGTGGAGAGAGACCTTGAGTACTGGGAGTGACTGCTCTCCCATCCCACACTCCCACCTCTCAGCAGGAGGGGTGACTTCCTGGTTCCTTGCCCCTCTGGGTTAGACCAGCTCTAGCTGCCTAGGAGTTGGGGGAGCTGTCAGGACTCTCCCAGGTCAGGAGCCCCAGTGGGCCCACCTAACCCTGCCACCATTCATCCACAGCCCTCGGCGTTGCTGACGCCCCCAATGTCGTCGAGCAGCCGGGGGCCGGGGGCCGGAGCGCGCCGACGCCGAACCCGCTGCCGCCGCTGCCGGGCCTGTGTGCGAACTGAGTGCGGGGACTGCCACTTCTGCCGAGACATGAAGAAGTTTGGGGGGCCCGGGCGCATGAAGCAGTCGTGCCTGCTGCGGCAGTGCACTGCCGTGAGTTCTGTCCCCTTCTCTAGGTGGCCTGAGTGTCTTCCCAGAGCCGACTGCAGAGTTGCTTCTTGTCCATTTACCTGATTCCTTCTTCCACTCACTGGTTTGTTAGGAACTCCAGTAGCCCCATCTTTGTCCTCAGCTCAAAGCTCGGGGCAACGCTGGGGTGCAGAGGTATCTGACCCTGTCCTGCATTCATACTTTCAAACTTTCAGGACCACAAACTCTGGGAGAGTGAAGCCATTTTGTATTCCTCCCCAGAGGCAGTTGTGCACAAGAGCCCACTCCCAAAACTCCACCTTGAGCAGATCTAGTCCATCCCTGGTCTCTTTCCTCACTGCTTCCACGCAGTCTGGGATTTGAGGTGATGCTCACCCTTCACGTGACCTTGAGCAAAACACTTTGAGCCTTAGGTAGCTTTTTTGGAAAATGTTTTCTTTGTTGTGGTGTAAAGATTAAACAGTAGTGTGGATATAAATGGGCCTCGTACAGTGCTCAGCGTGTAGTAGATATGAGAGAAGCGTGGGTTTCCTTTCTACCTTTCTCATCCTTTGACTTTCTCAGGGTTCCAGAGAGTGACCCTTCCCCATCAGCCATGCTAAGCCAAGTACATCCTGTGTCCCCCTCCACACATTGCCACCACCCTCTCTTCTTCTAGTCTCTCCTTCCTCTTGGTCTCTTTGCCCTCCTGCCACACTCTTCTCTTCCTTTGCCTCACTTTCTCATTGTTTCTTCTTGCCCATCCTGCTTCTTCGTGGAACTCGTGTCACAGCCGTTAGCATTTCCCATATGATCCCTTATTACTACTTTATATACTGTTTCATAAATAAGAATTATCTCATTCTCACAACAAGCGGAAAATTCTTAACCCCATTTTACAGATGCAGAAACAGAGATTCCTGGAGGTTAAATTAGTTTGTCAATGTCACACAGCCCAAAAGGAGCAAATTGAGGATTTGACCCAACTTGGTGCATAGGTTCCCAATCATGTCCCGTCTTCCTCCTCATCCCACAACTGCCAAGGACCCCAGAAGGAAGGGTCTCTCCCTGTTGCTTTCTGGGTCCCTGATGCCCCTTCTTCCCCAACAGCCCGTGCTCCCACACACAGCTGTGTGCCTCTTGTGTGGGGAGGCTGGGAAGGAGGACACGGTGGAAGGAGAGGAGGAGAAGTTTGGTGTGAGCCTCATGGAGTGTACCATCTGCAACGAGATCGTCCACCCTGGCTGCCTGAAGGTGAGAGTCTTCGAGAGTCTAGAGCCTGCGGTGGACAGTGGGGCAAGGGACTGCTGCCTGCATCCACTCTGCCCTCTTCCCCACAGATGGGGAAGGCTGAGGGGGTCATCAATGCAGAGATTCCCAACTGCTGGGAGTGCCCTCGTTGCACCCAGGAAGGCCGGACCAGCAAGGTACGGGTAGAGGCTGGGCTAGGCTTTGGCTCTGGGAAGGTGGTGGGGTGAGGAGCTGTGCAGGACCTCATCCGTTTTCTCCATCTCCCCAGGATGCAGGAGAGGGCCCAGGCCGCCGGAGGGCTGACAATGGCGAGGAGGGTGCCAGCCTGGGGAGTGGATGGAAGCTGACAGAGGAGCCGCCACTTCCACCCCCCCAACCCAGGCGCAAGGGCCCTTTACCTGCTGGCCCCCCCGCAGAGGATGTGCCTGGGCCCCCTAAACGGAAGGAGAGGGAGGCAGGGACTGAGACCCCCACCCCAAGGAAAAAGGTAAGCCAAGGGAGCCTTCTCATTGGGTCAGCCCAAAGAGATTCTGGGACCTATAGTAGTGGCTGGTCCAAGTTGGAGAAGGCAGTGGGCCTGGGAAATAGTCTTCAGTGTTGTTCCACTAGGGGTTGTTGGGAGATGTAGTTCAGGAACCACTGGGGGGTGGGGTAGGGGGGGAGAGGGTGGAGCGTGCTCAGTGGAGAGGAGAAGTACAGGTGAGGGGAAACTGGCACCAGGCCCGGAAGCTCTGGGAACCCTGGGTGTTTTTGGAAGGAGAAGGAGAGAGAGAGAGCATGCTCAAATTAGCTGCTTCAGAGGAGAAGGGAGGGGCTGGAAAGGGCCCTGAGGGAGAAGAAAGAGGAGATAGGAGCATGCTCAGTGAGCCAAGACACTGGTTGCAAGGTGAGCATGCTCCAAGTTCTCCCTGGGATGAGAGTTTCTGGGAATTGTAGTCTTAAGAGAAGGGCATGCACTCCAATTTCATGCACCGTGAGGAGCTAATGGGGTCTTTCTTTTCGTCCATATTTCCTTTTTTGTCCCATAGGTGAAAGGAGGCCGAGAGAGGCACCTGAAGAAGGTGGGTGGAGACGCCTGCCTCCTCCGAGGATCGGACCCAGGCGGCCCTGGCCTTCTGCCCCCCAGGGTTCTGAATCCGAGCCAGGCTTTCTCGTCTTGCCACCCTGGGCTCCCTCCCGAGAACTGGGAGGTGTGCCTGGGACCTCCTCTCTCCCTCCTCCCCCTATCTGCACCCCATCCTCCAGCCTGGAGATAGAAATCTGTCCCTTCCTGCTCACGTAGTCCTGCCCTAGCCTCTGTCTTACCTGATTCATAGGGGGTGTCCAGACCCCTGGGAAGGGATGAAGAGGAGAATGGGCTGTAGCAGCTTCTGACTTCCCAAGAGTGCTTAAGGTGTTACCTGGCCCATTTGCCTCATTTTTCCAAGCCTTAAAGGAGGAAAGAACTAAATTCAAATCCCTGCCCAGTTGCCCACTTCCCGTGTGGTCTTGGCAACTGTCAGCTACCCTGAGCCTCAGTGTCCTCATCCATCAAGTGGGGTGATGTTGCCTACCCTTATGCTACAGAACTGTTTCAATCTTAAGAGGTGACAAAAGTAAATGAGCTTTGTAAACTATAACATTCCATACAGATTTGAGAAAAAGGAAGCCCAGAGAGGTTAAGAAACTTGTGTGAGGTCACAGAGCAAAGCTACGATTTGGACATTGCTTTGCTCTGCCATGGTAAACACAAGTGTGTGTCTAATCATATTTAAAGGTTGTCTTAGTCATTTGTCAGTTTGTTAGATTGGGCAAGTGGCTGCATTGTCTGAGTCTCTGTCTGATCCTCTACTACATTTAAATACTATAGGAGGTTATGAGCTAGCAGGTGTGAGGTGTTGCACGTAGGGCCAATGATCAGTTATTCTCACACTGTTGAATGTATGTTTGGGATTATCCAGCCATTTCACATGTGACTTCCTAAGGCCACACACAGGGTTGGTGGCCAAGTCATGAGTCCAGACTAGCCCTCTAACTTTTCCATGCCTCACTGCTTCTGAAAACCATATGGCTTTTAGTTCTTTGAATTAGTCTCCTGTGTTACAGATAAGGGAGCTAAACCAAAGGAGGGGCAGTGACTTGGCTAAGGTCTCACAGCGATCAGGGGAGCTAGGACTGGAACTCAGGACTGCCCCTTGGAATAGTTATGCCCTGGTTGACTCCTCAGGGGCAGGAGGGTGGGAAAGCATTGTCAGGCCCTAGAACAGTCTCACCCTGTCATTCTGCAGAAACCAAAGCCACCTTTGGCCTCTGCTGAGGGTCCAGCAGTACCATCCCCATCACCACAGAGGGAGAAACTGGAGCGCTTCAAGCGGATGTGCCAGCTGCTGGAGCGGGTGCCCGACACCTCCTCATCCTCTTCTGACTCAGACTCCGACTCGGACTCATCAGGCACATCACTGAGTGAGGATGAGGCCCCTGGCGAGGCCCGGAATGGGCGAAGGCCAGCCCGGGGCAGCTCAGGAGAGAAAGAGAACCGTGGGGGGCGGCGGGCTGTACGCCCTGGCAGTGGGGGACCACTGCTCAGCTGGCCCCTGGGCCCGGCTCCACCACCTCGGCCCCCACAGCTGGAGCGGCATGTGGTACGGCCACCACCTCGAAGCCCCGAACCTGACACGCTACCTTTAGCTGCTGGATCCGACCACCCTCTGCCCCGGGCCGCCTGGCTTCGTGTCTTCCAGCACCTTGGGCCCCGCGAGCTGTGCATCTGCATGCGAGTCTGCCGGACCTGGAGCCGCTGGTGAGTGGCCTGGACAGGCTCGCGTTCCATCGGCAACACGTTTCCTTGCTTGCTGTGTGAATCGCAGCCAGTCTCTACTCTGGGTTTCTGGGCCTTGGTGCTCTCATGTTGACAGTGACAAGGAATACAAATAGTCAAGCCAGTGCAAGGTGGCACTTTATGTAAGGGGGAAACCTGCCAGAGAAGGAAAACACATTGTTGTTGTTATGTGCCATGGAGTTGGTTCTGACTCATAGTGACCCTGCATAGGGTTTCCGAAGTTGTAAATTTTTATGGGAGCAGATAGCCTTATCTTTCTCCCGGCGAACAGCTGGTAGTTTCGAACTGCTGACCTTGCGGGCCCGATTCGTAACCACTACGCTACCAGAGCGCCTTAGGAAAACACTCATAGTTTCCACTAAAAGACAGAAAAGTTGTGTGAATGCACCCTATCACCAGGGGAAAGTTTGGAGACTGGACAAACAAGGCAGTCCTGGCAAGTTGCAGAGCTGCAAGGGGTCAGTGTGTGTGTGTGTGTGTGTGTGTGTGTGTGTGCGCGCGCGTGCGCCGTGGGGTCCTTGTATGCTTCCAACTCAGTTCCTACTCAGAGTGACACTGTGGAGGATTTCCAAGGCTGTAAATCTTTACAGGAGAAGAAAGTGTCATTATTTTTCTCAAGTAGCAACTGTTAGATTCAGATTTCTGACCTTGTGGTTAGCAGGGTTTTAAAAAGTTCATGGGAAAATTGAATGAGAAAACAATGGCATTTTCCCACAAACTTTTTGAAGCCCCCTCATAGATATATCCTTGTTATTATTATCAGCATTTGTCATTAAGTGCCACTGAGTCGGTTCCAACTCGTAGTGACCATGTATAGAGTTTCTGAGGAGCAGCTGGTGAGTTTGAACTGCCAACCTTGTGGTTCAAATTGACCTTGAGGTCAAGTGCTTATCCTACGGTGCTACACCAGGACTCTCCTGTCATCTACATAGGAGCATGCATATATCCCAAAACCAAACCAAACCCTAACCCGCTGCCATGAGTCACTTCTGACTTACAGCAAGCCAATAGGACAGAGTAGAACTGCCCCAGAGGGTTTCCAAGGCAGTACTCTTTAAGGAAACAGACTGCTGCATCTTCCTTCTGAGGGGCCTGGAGGGGTGGATGGTGGGTTTGAACCGTCAACCTTGCAGTTAGCAGCTGAGCACTTAACCACTACACCATATGGTATGATGCTTCCATGTGTACTACACAGGCTGCTTGCCATTAATGAGCTCATTTAACCCTGACAACAACTTGGTGAGGTAAGTACTGTTACTCTGTGTGTCAGATGAGGGAGCTGAAGGCCCAAGGTCATGTGGCAGAACTAGGAATTTGAGCTGTCTGGCTCTAGATTCAGTCCTCTCAGTATTAACTCTCTTCTTAGCAAATGTTTCCTATGTATGATCTCATTGGTTGTGCACACTCACTTGGAATCAGAAGGTCAGTAGTTCAAGCTCACCAGCTTATTCCTTGGAAAAACCCTTTACAGGGTTGTTATGGGTCGGAACCAACTTGATGGCACTTAACAACAACTCCAAGGACAGTCTTAATAGTGTCCCCATTTACAGCAGAGAAAGCTGGCCTCTGCCAGCTGACAGACAGCCATGCTTGGACCGCCTGGCTCCACTTGGAGCTGCTTCCTTCCCCATAACCACCACCAGCGACCCTCTGTCCATCCTCTCCCACCACGGCTTCCAGAGCCTTGTTTGTTGAGAAACCCTCCGCTGACAAGCCTTCCTTCATTTATTCATTTTCATGGCCCGCTCAGTTGCTGGAGTCGGGCAGATGCTGGGTCAGCTTTAGCTTAGTGGGCCCAGCACTGGGATGGCGGGCCAGTGTGGGTGCGGTTTGTTGAGTGAATATAGTTAAGCGCTTTCGCAGGCACTGATTGTACACTTGTCATTACACTGGGCTCCTCACAAATGTGGCCTGCTTTGTTCCTCACAATAGCATCTGAAGTTCTGGTTCGTGTAAGTGACTCAAGTTGAATTTCTGCTTTTCCTCTGGAATGGGGTCTGAAGCACTCATCCATGCTTTCCAGTCTCACACAGACTGTAGTGCAGGGGTGGGGAACCTTTTTTCTGCCATTTGGATATTTATAGCATTATTTGTGGGCCATACAAAATTGTCAACTTAAAAATCAACCTGCTATGATGTGATAGCTGGAACTCTGGTTGCCTTGGCAGAGCCAGAACAAGTGATCAGGCCTGCGTGCCCAATGTTCCTCACCCCTGCTGTAGATCCCACAGGCTCTGGAGGCCAGCTCTTCCTTTTCAGTGGTTTAGCTCTAGTCCATTGGGCTAGCTGTTTAACTTGTCTTCATCTGTAAAACCAGGATAATGAAAGTATCCACTCCATGGTAGGTGGGGAAGGAGCCCTGGTAGCACAACAGTCAGGTGCTCATCTGTTTTCTAACTCAAAAGTTAGAAATTCAAACCCACTCAGTGACTCCGGGATAGAAAGACTTGGTGATCTGCTTCCCTAAAAAGTACAGCCTAGGAGCCCCTGTGGGGTAGTTCTAATCTGTCACATGGGGTCTTCACGGGTACTTAACACCAACAATAGAGCTAAGGCCAGTTCCTGGGCTGTGGGAAAGACTACATGCCTCAACTGTGGCTATTGTTCACTCGTTACAAGTGTTTAATGAAAGCACGGACCATTATGTGCTCATTACTTTGCCGCCCTTGAAAAATGCCCAGTCAGCCTGCAACTTAGAATCAAATAGTTACAGAAGTGGCTGAGATTTCTACCCTTGCCTGGGGTAGTCTTCGTTGAGAAAATGTTGGCCAGGATCCCTTCGGCACAGTCTGCACCACACTGGTTAAGTTCGGTGTCAGAACTGGAGAGGACCTACATGTGCCTGGAGGTGAGAAAAGCAGAGAAGCAGGATGGCACACAGGTTTCCATTTTGGATCCTGGAATTTGGCCCCAGAGTCTCGTTAATCACAACTTCCTTACTTCCTGGTTGTGTGGGTGGCTAGCCGGACCCTTCAAGGGCTCAGTCTTCTAATCTGTGGGTGGGGCTTCCTATCATTGCTTACCTTACGGGGGCTCAATGAGATGGTCCTGTCAAGCACTTAGCACAGTGTCTGAAGGGTACTAAATACTCAAGAAAAATTGTGGATTTTGATGAAAAACAGGAGAGGAGAGCCAAGCGGGAGGCTCTGGGGACACAGTGGGACCATTCAGGAGACTGCCAGGCAGGTGGAGATGGAGAGGGAGCGGGGTCTTGGGTTGAAAATGCTGTAAGCAGCAGAGTGACTTGGGTTTGGTGGCTGTTGGGGCTGTGACAGTAAGGCACATGAATATTGAGGCCACAGGGCAGCTCTTCAGCTGAGTTTCTGGCCCAGGAGCCTGGGTGGGCAGTAGCACCATTCCCCAAGCTTGGGGTTACCAGGGGAGGAGCAGGTTCCAGTTGGTAGTGAAAAGCTGAGATTGAGACATGTTTAGACCAGGCAACCCTGTGGGGCAGTCAGGTAGCGGGAGCAGCTTCGACTGTAGGGTGGTGCTCCAGAGAAAGGAAATTGGGAGTTGTCACAGCTTCAAGGGAAGAGGACAAGAGGACAGACCACGTGTACAGGCAGAGAAAGAGCAGCCTGAGAAGTGAAGGAGGTCCAGCATCGAGAGGAGTCAAGGAAGGAATAAATGATGAAGTGTTGAATGTTGGCAAGAGGGCAAAGGAGATCAAGGACGAAGAAGTAGCAGTTTAGCTTTGCTACCCAGAAGCCCTGACAACTCCCGCTACCGGGGGGCTCCTTAACTTGGTGTCCTTGACTGCTGTGTAGAGACAGTGGGGCCCAAGCCAGGTCACAGCAGATAAAGAAGGGACGACCTGCAAACAGCAGCTCTAAGGCAGGGCCTCGGTGTCCTTGCTGCTATAGCCTCAGACTGTATCTGGTACTAAAAACTATGGAGGGAGTGAAAGTGAGGAAAGGGATAGAGTGTGGGAAAGGGGTAGTGCAGGGTGGAGCTAGGGAGACATTTGTAGGTAGGAGAGCAGGAAGTTGCAGGCTTTCCTGTCTGGTGGCTTTCATCTTCTCTTGGAACTGGGAGGTGGAAAATCTTCTGGGAGGGAGGAGAGGAAAGACAGTCAGGGTGGGGGGAGGTGTGGAGTTGTTGAGTTGCAGGGTTAGGGCTTTCATGGTGGGGGGTGGGTTGAGGGTGAAAAGGGAGGTTGTGGAGCACAGGGTCAGGGCCAGTTGGGGTTACAAGTGCAGCTCTGGGAGCAAAAGATCTGGTCACGGTCAGAGCCCAGGAGGCTGTGAGCCTCTGGGCAGCAGTGTGGTCTGGTCCATCTCTGTGTCCCAGAGCGCCTCCCTAAGAGAGACATTTAGGATTTGGGAAGTGGGCTTGATGATCAGGGAGGTGGCTGGAGTTCAGGAGAAGGTTTGACAAGAATCCGGGCTATGTGTCTTTGGACTTTATCTTCCCTGACTGATGCCAGACATTGGCCTCCTAAGAATTCTTCCTGCCTTTTGCGTCAGGGTCTTCTTTTCCAGCTGAGGTAAAACCCACCTGAGCTCCTTATGGTCCTCCCAGTGAACTTCCATAATCTATTGGGCATTTGGACACAAACGGTACCCCATTTCCCAATACTATTTTCTCATCTTCACAGCAGCCCTTGGAAGTAGGTGCTGTCCTTGACCCACTTTTATGCTTTAGAAAATGGAAGTCCAGAGAGGGTAAGTGACTTGCCTGTGGTCACTGCAAATACAGACGTGGCAGAGCTGGGCCTGTACCTGTGGACGCTGCAGCCTGGACTGACCATGGCCTGGCATTCCAGCTCAGCCTCTCTCTTCCTCATCACATCTTGGGCTCTCAATAGGCTCCGTTTAAGCCCTGGCCCTTTTTACCACTTAGTAGTTGTGGGACCTTGAATTAGTTTCTTCACCTCTCTGGCCCTCCTTTTCCTTAACAATAAAGTGGAGTTGATAATAATAGTATTTACCTCGGAGGGCCGTTACGAGGCTAGATAGTGAATGCATTGAACATCCCTTGGCACACTGTAAACCTTTCACAAATAGCAGTTACTGTGCTGTGCTCGTCATCATTCTCTTGAGGACAGTGAATTGCCCTTCGTTCCTGTTGCGTGAAATTCCCTGAAGTCTCTGTTTTCTCTCTCTGGACACAGGTATTCCCTACCTGTCGCACACAGCCTCTTCCTCTCCCCCTGTTGCCCAAATAACTCATGCCTTCAAAGTCTCAGTTCAGGCATTGCCCCCTGGGAGGCTGCCCTGTTCCGGCTCCCCACCCTGGCCTCCCACTGACCTTGCACTTCCGCTTGTCATGACTCTTAGCTCCCTAGTTACTACAAACTGAGCATCTCTCCATCCCTGTTAGAAGGGGTCGGGGACTTCCTGTAAGACGAGGCAGTGGAGCTGAGCCCTGAAGACTCAGGATTGGTTGTCATTTCTGACAGAGGCACTGTATGTATGTGCCAAAACACGTTGATACCAGATAGCATTGTGTGTGTACAGGAGGGCAGGTGGTTTGGCCTGGCTCCTGTGAAGGAGACACAAGTTGGGGCCTGTGAGTGCCTTCAGAAGGAGGCATTCCCTCCTCGGGCTTGAGGATCTAGAAGCTTTCAAGGGGGTGGTAGCAATTGAGCTGGGACTGAAGGCAGGGTCAGAGTGGCCAGGGAAAGGTTTTCAGTGGTACTGGATTTGCAAGAGAGAGAGAAGGGGCAAAATGTCGGGACGGAATCTGGGTTGGAGGTGGGCTGCCATTTTTTCCCTTTTCTTTTTTAGAATCGGAGAGACTTTTCATATGTTTGTCGGTTAAATGGAAAGAATCAGGAGAGGCTGGAATGTCAAGAAGAGGGGAAGTGGCAGCAGGGGATAGGGTGAGAGGGAGCCCTGCTTCAGGTTAGGTTGTTGGGGCTAAAGCAGCCTTACTCCTTTGACTCCAGCGTTCCCTAAAAGACCTCACTGGCTCACTGTATTCTGCCCAGTCATTTAAAATGGCACAAAAACCTAGCTGCATCCTTGTGTTAATTTTGAAAAGGAGGTCTCTCCTTTGGGGATACTATTGTATTTTTAAGAAGCTCTGGTAGCGTAGTGGTTACAAGTTGGGCTGCTAACCTCAAGGTCCTTTCCGAGTGAGAAAAATGAGGCTTTCTGCTCCCATAAAGATTTCCAGCCTTGGAAACTCTATGCAGGGTCACTATGAGTTGGAACCGATGCTTCGGCACATAATCACCACCACCACTAGCCAGCCATTGTATCTTTAACACCTCTGGATAATACTTATTTAAGGAACCCTGCTGACACAGTGGTGAAACACTCAGTTACTAATCCAAACCCCCCAGTGACTGTGTGGGAGACAAGACTAGGCAGTCAGCTGTGAAGATTATAGTCAACAAAACCCTATGGGGGGCTATTCTGTTCTGTTACATAGGGTCGCAATGAGTCAGAATCGACTTGATGGCACACAACGACACCGAAGTACGCTTGTGTATCTGTTTAATGAAAATAGTCTTTAGGCACTAGCCTATGGCTACAGTAATGACTGGCTAGAACTTAATGACCCTTGTCTGTTTTTATCATGTTTATTTTTTATTGTGGCAAATGTGTATCGCTATAGAGAACACAAAGGAGGTCCAGTAGCATAGTGGTTACGAATCGGGCTGCTAACCTCAAGGTCAGCAGTTCGAAACTACCAGCCGTTCCATGTGAGAAAGTTGAGGCTTTCTGTTCCCGTAAAGATTTACAGCCTTGGAAACCCTGTGCAGGGTCACTGAGTCGGAACCGACTCCATGGTACTTAACAACAATAGAGAGAACACATTTGTCAGATATTTGTTTTTCACCTGTGCAATGTAGTGACATCATTTATATTTATCGTGTTATGCAGCCACCACCAATATCTGTTCATTTTTCCATCACCATAAAGATTGTGTTTCGTTTTAAGGTGAATTTAGGCTTATGTGAAACAATACTGGCTATTAAGTTTAAAGAGGCGGTCCATTGGAAGATAAATGCATGTTAAGCCAATCAAGTGGACTGAAAGGAAAAAAACGCCGACTGGAGTTTGAGAATCACTGTTCCAGCCCAGGACTTGAAGGGAAAGCTCTTCAGAATGATGGGAGAGCAGGAGGGAGGCGTGGGAAGTAAGCCCGCCCCTGCTGCCTCTGTCAGTCCAGTGGGAATCCCCGGGCTGACCTCTGTGAAAGAATGCACTAGAAGAGAATTTCTCAAACTGGGTCTTGAGAAGCCCTGGTGGCACTGTGGGATAAGCAGTGGGCTGCTAGCGGCAAGATCAGCAGTTGAAAGCCCCAGCTGCTTTGAAGGAGAAAGATGAGGTGGTGAATCCTATAATGATTAACAGTCTTAGAAACCGTACGCATCAGGTCTACTCTGCCCTGTAGGATCAATGTGAGTTCAGTTGGGTCTTAAGGATTGGGTGGTGGCGTTAAATGCCGTCAGGTCATTTCCAACTCATAGCGACCTGTATAGGGTTTCCGAGGAACGGCTGGTGAGCTTGAACCGCCAACCTTGTAGTTCAAACTGTCTTTGCAGTCCAACACATTATCCCGCAGTGCCACACCAGGACTCCAAAATAGGTTTACCTTGGAAGGGGTGGGAAAGGGTTCTCTGGATAAATAAGATTGAGAAGTCTTTTCTAATTTCTTGTGCACCTTGGAATAGTGAAGTCTCTGGGAAATGCCAGGATGAGGAACCCTGTTTAAATTGGTTCTTGGCCTCCTTTGTCTTGATAGCATCAATATTTGGAAATTGCCAGGTCTTCCCTAAACAGTGAGTGAGTGAATGAGAACCTGTAACTGAGGTTGTTTGTATACCTCCAGGGGGTTGCTCATTAGAAGCTTCAAGTTGTGCACGCTGGCTTGGCACCGTTCATTCATTCAACAGATGTGCAACCAAAAACTTACTATGCACGAGGCTCTGTGGTAGGTGCTGGGAATACGAAAAAGACAAATCTGTCCATATGCACATCCATTCTAGTGGAAGAGACAGAATAAGCAGAGAGAGAATATTCAAGTTGTAAGTCAAGCCTTGGGCTAGCAAGAAGAGGCAAATGTGCGTTAAGGGCAGAGATGAGTAGAAGAAATGAGAAACGTCCACGAGCCACCGTAGCTTAGCCAGGGAGACATTGAGAAACCCAAGGTGGAAGGCGGGGCGACTGGCAGATCCCTTTGGTGTTACATCAAATACAGTGTGTAGGGTGTTTGTATATTTGGTAAAATGCTTTATAAGCTATAAGGCCCACAAACTATAATTACCTCATTTGATCTTACAGCAACCCCGCGGGGCAGGCAGAGTCTGGGTCATTATCTTCATTTTATAAATGAGGACTCTGAGGCTCAGGGAAAGGAATAGACTTGTCCAAGGTCTCGCAGCCACATGGTGATGGAGTTGGCCAGGGTCCAGGAGCTTCTTGCTGCCTTGCTGTGTGCCCAGAAAGCTGTAGTGTGGGGAGGATTGGAGTGTAGGCTCCCTGAGATCTGAGAGTGAGGCCTCTGTCTCCACCTTGTGGCCAATAGGTGCTATGACAAGCGTCTGTGGCCTCGAATGGACCTGAGCAGGCGTAAGTCGCTGACACCGCCCATGCTCAGTGGTGTTGTTCGGCGCCAACCCCGTGCTCTGGACCTCAGCTGGACAGGTGTTTCCAAGAAGCAGCTCATGTGGCTTCTGAACCGACTGCAAGGTAGGACAGGGTGGCCAGGTGGGACAGGGTGGTGAGGGCGTGGATCTGGAACAGAGCCCCTCCCAGCACCAGCTTGGTGACCCCCCTCCAGGCCTGCAGGAGCTGGTGCTCTCCGGCTGCTCCTGGCTCTCCGTCTCTGCCCTGGGCTCAGCCCCACTGCCAGCCCTGAGGCTCCTGGACCTCCGCTGGATCGAGGATATTAAGGACTCCCAGCTCCGTGAGCTACTGCTGCCTCCACCCGACACTAAACCAGGTGTGGTCTCAACTTGCTGGTATGCAGAATGGGTTGGGTGAGGTGTGGGCACGTGGCCTCTTAGATCTCTTGATTCACATTGAGTGTTAAAAGTATTTGAAGAAAGGATAGCACACATGAACTTGAGTAGGAGGATCTAGTGGTGCCGTCACTACTAACTGAGAGGACAGCAGTGCAAACTATTCAGCAGCTCTGGGGAGAAAGACGATGCAGGCTCTTTCCACAAAGATTTACAGTCTTGCAAACCCTGCAAGGAAGTCCTCTCCTGGCCTAGAGATCGCTGTAAGTTAGAGCCAGTGGGTTGAGGTTGCCTTGTCTCTTGTGTGTTCATGCGCTCGCTTGCTCTGTGCTGGGCCCTGTGGTAGGCGCTGAGGGAACAGGAATGAAGAGGACCTAGCCCGAGCCCTCTGGTGGGGAGGGGAGAGAATTGTGTAATGAAACACAAAATAAGAGAGGAAGATGAAGAGAGAAGCCAGGACCAGGCCGACAACGGGTGTGAGTGACACGGGCCAGGTGTGGAGAATCTCCTCAAAAGAGCCGTACTGCCAGGAAGGAAGGCAGGCGCTGTGTGGCCAGTCAGGTGGTGTTTGAACAGGAGCCAGAAATGGTGATTTTTTTTTTTTTTTGTCTGTGAAACCTGGTTTTCAAATGGCGAGAATTAATTCCAATTCTTTTAAAATTCATGGACCTCAGCTTCAGTGGTGTCTCCAAGAAGCAGCTCATGTCAACCCAATAAAAACAGGGCTAAGCCGTGGATTTGGCTCGGGGCCCTTTGCCCTAAGTAAGAGAATAAGACTTTTCCTTTGAGAATGCAATAGACATAGAGAACCAGTTGGCTTGGAAAGTGGTGTGAGAGTAAGTCAACCCCAGGAATCAAGTTCAGGGACCCCGTCAGGGAAAGCCAGCCTGGTGATGTGATCTAGGGCTCTGGAGACCTCAGACTGAACCAGCTCCCGTGAAATACAAGCGAGAAAGCTGGAGGTGTGAAAAGGAAAGACTGGTTGTCTCCAAAGAGCAGCTCAAGGTCGGGGTGGGTGGTGGGCTGAAAGCAGTTCTTTGTTGTGTGAGCTGAATCTTGAAGGGGACAAGGGTTATCTAGGCAGAGAACTGCCCATGATCTGGGGTGTATGAGGCTTGATGAGCAGTTTGGTGAGGCATGAGGCCCATAGTGGCTTAGGGGGATGCTGGGAGTTGAGGCTGGTCAGGTGAGCAGAGGCCTTGTCACCTTAGAAATCATGTTGTTAAGTGCCATCGAATCGGTTCCAACTTATAATAACCCTGGATAGTTTCTAAGGAATGGCTGTTGGTTTGAACCACCAACCTTGTGGTTGAGTGGTAATCATATGGAAGGTGTCTATGGAGGTCTGGGGGTGGGAACTGAGGGCTAGTGGTTCTAGCCAGAGAGTCAGGGGAAGCATCCAGAAGGGCAAATGTGACTCCTTGTGTGCTCAGTGTGCTCCGCCGGGCTCTGTGGATAAAGATGAGTATTAGAATAGGACCACTGAGGCAGGTCTGATCTGGCTCCCACTGACCTCTCCCGCTGCATCTCTGTGGCCTTGCCAAGCTCCCTCCAGCCCCCAGGCTGTTGTTAATTGTTGTTGTTGGTGGTGGTAAGTGCCATCTTTAGCCTCTAATCATCTTTCAGGCCTCAGTTCAAATGCCACTTCCTTCTAGAAGTCCTCTGTCCCTCCTCCCCCCCAGATCAGAGTTCCTGTGTGCCCTACCCAGCTTGTCATTGTCACTGTCTGCTTCTGAGGTGATTTGGTATCTGTTACCTTCCACTTGGCTCCTTTTTTTTTTTTTAAGTTGTGGTGAAAATACACAAATATATATAACAACACATTCTCCCGTATAACTGCCACAGTCCCAGTGGGTTGTTAAGCTCCTTGAGGGCAAGGTCTGTGTGCTCACACTTCTCTCCCCAGCACCTAGCTCAGCAAATGTGCCTTACATGAATAAGCTCAGTGAGTAAACAAACAGGGACAGGGAAGAGGGCTATAGTTTGAGGAAAGGGGATTTCCTAAATGCGATTTCCTGGGCCCTGAAGTTAGGGAATAAAAGAGTCTTCCTTTCTCAAGGTCCTTCACAGTCATGCTCTCTTCTCCCCACCCAGCCAGTCCCTTCACAGATGCCCTGGGAGAAAAGTAGAGAGCAAGTGGAACTCTTGCAATTTTCTCAGAGGGATTGAGTAACTCCTGTAAGTCAAACAAGCAAAGTCAGGCGGAACACTCTCCTATGGCCTAGTCTTACTATAATGGGACTGAGCCCAGAAGATTTGGGCAGGGGCTGAGGTGGGGAGAGCTGTAGAGACAATGAGAAAGGGCTGCAGGCTGGCTGATGGGCTGACAGACTTCTCCGCCTGCTTGAATTCATGGTGGTTCAGGCCCCTTTATCAAGCCCGGGCCATGAACGTGCCAAATGAGCCCACTGGGACTCTGTACCCCTTTGCTGGCTTCATGCAGCATTCCTGGAGTAAAGCATAAAATTCTTGTCACCCTTTCTCCTCCTTTGCTCTTGCCCCTGGTGTACCCTTCTCCTCTCACTGCCCTATATTTTCAAGTCCTTGAAAGCCCCCTTGCTGTCCACCACCTGTGTAAAATCTTCACTGGCGCCCACATGCGCAACCCAGAAGTGACTTCTGCTGGCGCCAGGTCGAGGATGTCTGTCACAGTAGCCTACTTCCAGGCACACAGTTCCTCGAAGATGGGGTGGGTGGAATTCACCTGCAAAGTCAGGTGCCTACAGAGGCAGCCAAGGTGACAAGCTGGTTTAAGATAGTAATACCCTGCAACCCAGTTCTACTCAATCATTGGTAGCCCAGTGATGCCCCATTGTAGGATTTTTTCTTTCTAAAATAACCTTTAAAAATCATGGTAAAATATATATAACAAAACATTTGCCAGTTCATTGGTTTTTATGTCTACAATTCAGTGTAGAATCCGCCTTTTAAATGTCACTGATACAAGCACTGGAGTCCTGGTGTGGTGCTGAGAGTTAATGTGCTGGACTGCAAGGTCTGTTTGAACCACAACATCAGCAGTTCAAGCTCACCAGCTGCACCTTGGAAACCCTATACAGGGTCACTATGAGTCAGAACCAACTCGACGGCACATGACAGCAACAACACTATAAGCACTAATAGAAATGCTGTAGCACTGTAGGATAAACACTGGACTGCTAACCACAAGGTCAGTGGTTCAAACCCATTAGCTGCTCCTCGGAAACCCTTTACAGGGTCGTTGAGTTGGAACCAACTCTTTAGCATTTTATGACAGTTTAATAAAAACACTAGCACTATGTCTTCATCATTGTTGTGAAGTGCTGTGGAGTTGCTTCCAGCTCATAGCGACCCTGTATAGGGTTCCCAAGGAGCAGCTGGTGAGTTTGAACTGCAGACCTTGTGGTCCAGTGCTTATCCTACAGTGCCCCACCAGGACTCTACTACATAGACTCCATAGACTCCATAAAACACTTACAGGCTGCGTTCATGCATTTGTGACGTCTGATCTTCCTGTCTCAGGGCTAGAGGTGGTACCTAGGAGGCACGTTGTTAATAGCTGTCAAGTTGGTTCTGATTCATAGCGACCCTGTATAGGGTTTCTGAGGAGCAGCTAATGAGTTTGAACCACTGACCTTATAGTTAAAACCGACCTTGTGGTCTAGTACTCATCCTCCAGCGCCACACCAGGATTCCAGGAGGCAGATAGCATATTATGGTAAAGACCTGGACTTAAAAGTCCCCAAACCTGGGTTTCCTGGCGCTGTTCCTTCGTAGCTATGTTTTTGACAGATGTTGAATGATTTGAACAGTTTTTTCATTTGTATCCAGGAATGGTCATCAGAGAACTGGTCTCCTCAGGCTGTGGTCTGAAGCGGTGCTTTCAGGACCAGCAGCAGCATAACTACTGGAGAATTTGTTAGAAAAACAGACTCTGAGTCGTCACTGTCCAAAAAACCCAAGCCAATTGACCTCAGGTTGATTCTGATGCCTAGCAACCCATCTGTATAGGATCTCCCCGACTTTATGGGAGTAGACAGCCGTATCTTTCTCCCTCGGAGTTGCTGATGCTTTGAACCACCAACCTTGTGCCACCAGGCCTCCTCAGGGGTCCCACTCTAGACCTACTTAAACCAGGGCTTCAAACTGGTTCATTCCGACTTGAGTTTCCTGCTGAGAATTTGCCTTGTGGTACTGTGGGATCAGTACTAGAATGTTAACCACAAGGTTGGGTGGTTCAAACCCAACAGCTATTCCTAGGAAACCCTATACGGGGTTGCTGTGAGTCAGAACCAACTCAACAGCACTTAACAACAACAACCCCAAATAGGCACAATCAGAATCTACATCTAACAAGATAGGGGACTTGTTTTAATGTAGCTTCTCATTCCTGTATCTGGAGTGGAAAGGCAAATTCTTTGTTGTTGTTAGGAGCCATCCAGTTGGTACTGACTCATAGAGATCGTGTGCACAACAGAATAAGGCCAGGCACACCTTAAGTCAAATTGACATCTTTGCTTTTGAACACCTGAAAGAAATCTTGTGCAGCAGATTGTAATATGTTGCTTGACTTCTTGACTGCTACTTTCATGAGTAGTGATTATGAATCAGGCTGCGAACTTTAAGGTCAGCAGTTCGAAACTACCAGCTGTTCCACAGAGAAAGATGAGGCTTTCTGCTCCCGTAAAGATTTACAGCCTCAGAAACCCTATACAAGGTCGCTATGAGTCAGAACCAACTCCACAGCACAGAACCACCACCACCACCATGCTCATGAGTGTTGATGGTTGAATGAGCAACATGAAATCTTTGACAGCTTCAATGTTTTTTCCCATTTCTGTGGATGTTGTTTATTGGTGCAGTGGTGGGGATTTTTGTTTTCTTTACGTTGAGGTGCAACCCATACTGAAGGCTGTAGTCTTTGATCTTCATCAATAAGTATTTTAAATCCTCTTCACTTTCAGCAAGCAAGGTTTGTATCATTTGTATATCGCAAGTTGTTAATGAGTCTTCCTCTAATCCTGAAACCACCTTTTTCTTAATATAATCTAGCTTCTCAGCATACAGGTTGAATAAGTATGGTGAAAGAATACAACCCTGGTGCACACCTTTCCTAATTTTAAACCATTCGGTGTTCCCGTGTTCTGTTCAAACAACTGCCTCTTGGTCTATGTACAGGTTCCTCATGAGCACAATTAAGTGTTGTGAATACTCATTCTCCACAATGTATTGTCATGATCCACACAGTCGAAAGTCTTTGTGTAATCAATCAAGCACAGGTAAACATCTTCCTGGTATTCTCTGCTTTCAGCCAAGATTCATCTGACATCAGCAATGATATCCCTTGTCCTGCATCCTCTTTTGAATCCAGCTTCAACTTCTGGAAGTTCTCTGTTAATGTATAGTTGCAGCTGTTTTTGTGTTATTGTTAGCAAAATTTTCCTTGCATGGGATATTAATGATACTGTCCAATGATTTCTGCATTCAGTTGGGTTACTTCTCTTTGGAATAGGCACAGACATGGATCTCTTCCAATCAGTTGGCCAGGTAGGTGTCTTCCAAATTTCTTGGCATAGAGTGTTTCTAGCGCCGCATCAGTTTGTTGAAAGATTTCAATTTGTATTCCATCAGTTCCGAGCCTTGTTCTTTACCAATGCCTTCGATGCACTTTGAACTTCTTCCTTCAGTATCATTGGCTCTTCTTGATCATATGCTACCTCTTCACGTGGTTGAATGTCGACTATCTCTTTCTGGTACAGTGACTGTATTCCTTCCATCTTCTTTTGATGCTTTCTGCATCATTCAGTAATTTGCCTAGAGACTCATTCAATATTGCAAGTCAGGGCTTGAATTATTTCTTCAGTTTCATCAGCTTGAGGAGTGCTGAGTGTGTTCTTCCATTTTGGCTTTCTAATTCCAGGTCTTCGCACATTTCATTATAATATTTGACTTTGTCTTCTCAAACTGACCTTTGAAATTTTCTATTTAGCTCTTGTATCTCCTCATTTCTTCTATTTGCTTTAGCATCTCTATGCTGGAGAGCAAGTTTCAAGAGTCTTTTTTGATATCCATTTTGGTCTTTTCCTTCTTTCTTGTCTTCTCAGTGACCTTTTGCTTTCTTCCTGTGTGATATTCTTGATGTCACCGCACAATTCTCAGTAGGGAGGATTGAATGAACCCCTTTAAAGCTTTGACCTGAACTCTGGAGGGAGGAGGCAGCAGCCCATTTTCAGCAGCCCTCCTGGTGACACAGTAGCCTCTGGTTTGAGATGGACCAGGCCACTGGCTTGGGGGCCCACAGGCACTTAGCCTACTGCCAGGCCCACGGTCAGCGTTCACCTATGGCAACTGGTGCACCATAGGCACTTGGTTCAAAACAAAACCAGACCAACTTTTTTAAAATGCATGATCAATAAAAGAAATGCAGACTTATGTGCTTTGGGTCCAGGACTGAAGGGTATGACTCTACCTGGATAGAGGAAGCGGGGGACCTCTGAGCTCAGACATGGGCACCACGGTCGCTGGGTAGGCAGCGGGTTCAACATAGAGATGGTCACAGGCAGAGCGTCTCAAAGTAGGGCTGGTGGTGGAGTTTGGCTCAAGTGTTTGAGTTGAAGGAGAAGAGTTAGGAGCTGAAACTGGGATGAGACACTGGATTGTTCTGTCAAGGCGGTGGAGTCCTGGTGTGGCGCTGTATGATAAACACTGGACTGTTAACCACAGGTGGTTCAAACCCACCAACTGCCCCTTAGAAACCGTATACAGGGTCACTATGAGTCGGAACCGACTCAGCAGCGCTTAACAAAAACACCAAGAAGCTAAGGAACCCTGGTGGCACCGTGGGTTAAGTGTTGACCGGTGTTCTGCAAGTTCAGCAGTTTGACTCAACAGCTGCTCGTTGGGAGAAAGGTGAGGCTCCCTGCTCCCGTAAAGATGTGCAGACTGAAAAACCGTAGGAAGCAGTTCTACTCTCTTACTAGGGTCACGAGGAATCTTGATGTGGCGCCGTGGGTTAATGTGTTAGACTGCAAGGTCAGTTTGAACCACAAGGTCTGTGGTTCAAGCTCACCAGCTGTTCCTCAGAAACCCTATACAGGGTCACTATGAGTGGGAACCGACTCAGTGCCACTTAACAACAACAAAGGGAGTCTGAATCGACTTGATGGCAGTGGGTTATCAAGGCAATTATAGGCTTATTTGAGGGGCCCTCAGAGAGAAGGGATTTCCCTATTTGTGTTTGAGAACAAACACTCTTTGGATGCCAGGAGAGAGACTGGAGTGAGTGAGGAAGTTGCGGGAGCCGAGTAGTGGTGACCAGGGGGGACAGGAAGGAAAGGGACCAAACTGGTGACTTGATGGTGACTTGATTCATTATGGTGATAGAGGGGAGATGTAGAAGGGAGGAGTGAATTACTGTCTTCATGAAATTGACATTCCAGTGGGAGAGTAAAAAATGAACAAGAAAAATATGTATTTGCGGCATGTCAGATAGTAGAGAAGGGAGGCAGACCATGCAGGGAGGTGGTAGGGGTGGGTGACAGGTTATTGTTTCAAATAGTGTCATCACGGAAAACTTCACTGAGGCAGCGATGTGAACAGTGGACAGACAGGTGGGCGAGCAGCTCTGTGGGTGTTGGTGAGAAAAGCAAGCCAGGCAGGCAAGTGGGCAGCAAGTTGAAGCCTCTCGAGTGGGAGCAGGTTCCATGGAATGGTGAGGACTAGGAGTGTGGAGACACAGCCAGTCTGGGTCTTGGGCACAGCGAAGCCGATGGCCAGGACTGCTGATCTCTGTTCTGTGTGCCCAGGCCAAACGGAGAGTCGTGGGCGGCTTCAGGGGGTGGCAGAGCTGCGCCTGGCAGGCCTGGAGCTGACCGATGCCTCCCTGAGGCTCCTGCTACGCCACGCACCCCAGCTCAGTGCTCTGGACCTAAGTCACTGCGCCCATGTTGGGGACCCCAGCGTCCACCTTCTCACAGCCCCCACCTCCCCACTCCGTGAGACCCTCGTGCACCTCAATCTCGCTGGTAAGCATGGTCCTTCCTCTGTGGGTTCTGTAAGCCTGTTGGCCCCCGTGGCCAATGTCTACTGACTACTTACTCACCTGGTCTCAGCTGCCACTATCCCATCCCCAGGTTGCCACCGGCTGACGGACCACTGCCTCCCGCTCTTCCGCCGCTGCCCACGCCTACGCCGCCTAGACCTGCGCTCTTGCCGCCAGCTCTCACCTGAAGCTTGTGCTCGGCTGGCAGCTGCCGGGCCTCCAGGCCCCTTCCGCTGCCCAGAGGAAAAGCTACTTCTTAAGGACAGCTAGTTGGGTGCCCCCCACCCTCCCCCAGGACTCATCAGAAGCCTGGACCTCTGGCTTTCATTTCACCCCCTTGCCAGGAGGCCAGGTTACCCACCTCATGACTGGGAATTCCTGAGTTTTAGGACTTGGGATTCCTACCCAGGGACTACAGCTAGCCTTCCCCCAACCCACCCCACCCCCCACCCTCTTCCCCCTGCACTGATATCTCTGGGGGTCTCTCCTTCCCATCCCCATCCCCCTTCCACTTACTTCATTGTCCATCCCCAGGGGGGAGTGGGTCAGAGGTACTGGGGGGGTGCTGAGCCAAAGGGATGGTGGGAGGGGGGTTAAGGTGCAAGTCTGAGGGGAGGGGAATGGGGGAAGGGCATCTGCACACAGGATACTGGGAGCCATGGGGCTGGGGGAGGTGGAGGATGGGCTGGGGGGAGGGGGGCAGAATGCAGACCATCAAGGGTTCAGGAACAAAGACCAGATCTTTGGAATTGGGGGTGGGTTGGGGGGGTCAAAAAGGGAAACCAGAAGAGCAGTTGGGGATCCAGGTGTCAGAGGTAGGGGGACTCGGGGAGTCAGGGGAAGGCCAGAACTGAGAGGTGGGTAGGGGGACAAGAGTAGGTGTGGGGGCAATAGTAGCCCCTCTAGGGGATCACCCCTCACCTTGCCCCCTCCCTAGATTTCAGTTCTTTTCTCCCAGCCCAGACTCCTTGAATGTCACTGACAATGGCAGCTATTGTGAGGAGTGGGGGCCGGGGCCCAGGGGAGTGGTGAGGGGTGCTCCGACCCCCTGCCTGCCTCCCTGCACAATACTTGAACATTCATCTGTACTGAAGTGTTACTTGAACCGGGTGAACCTCGGACCTGGGGGAGCTGGAGTGTGAAGGGGTCAGACTAGCTCTTAACTAAAGCTGGTCCTGTGGACGCCTAGTTTGGACTGCGCCGCCCCGGGCGCCCGGCTGCTTTACTGGATTGAGCAGCTCCACCCCTGTTGACATCAGGCGGGGCGGTGCCAGCCCACGGATGGGGAAGATGGGACTTCTCCGGCGTGGCTCTACCCACTCATCGTCTTGGAAACTTGTACCTATTAGCCCAGGGAACTGCCACTCCTGGTTGCCATGGAAATAGCAGCCAATGGGCACCTGATGCCAGTGCTAAAGCTGGAAATGGCCCCTCTTAGTTGCCATGGGAACTTAGTAACAGACTCTTGGCCCTTCCCACCCGCCCCCTCCTCCAGTGTGGGGGCGTTGTTTCGGGAGCCAGAGGGAGGGGTCGGGGCCAGGTCCTACCCCTCAAACCAGCCCTGCCAGAGGAGCCAGGTTGTACCATGTAGGGGAGGGGAATCTATCCACATACCTCAGGTAACTGGAAGGTGCACGGGTGGGGGGAGGGACTGGGCGGACCAAAGGCCGGAGGGGAGGGGGGCCTGGGGATCACAAAAGGCTTGAGGATGGAGCCTCTTGGGGAAAGGGGAGAAGCAGCCCGGTGGTGGTGTGGGGGGGTGGGCAGGTGGGGAACCCAGCCGGGCTGGGCCCCGGGTCTATACAATACGGTTTGCTATAAAACTCAAAATCTTCCAGCCGGGGCTACTGAGTTTGTCTATGTGTGTGTGTTTGCGGCGTTCGGAATTGGGAGTATGGCATAGGTGGAAGGAATGCTCATTCCGAAAGCGATTGGAACACGGGGCTCTTTGGGTGGGTCTAGGGATCTAGGACCCACCTTTAGACTTCCCAGATCTGAGGCTAAAAGGTTTGAGGTCCCTGCAGATGAATTAGAAGTACCTGGGCCCACCTTCTCAAACTTTATTATCTAGGAAAGAGTATGGATGTCTGGACACTCGGAGTATCCAGTTGAACTTTGAAGAGGTACAGGATGCCTGGATCCAGAAACTCCAGTCACAGGCAGGCTGAACGTTCACCTCGGTGTGGCTCGTCCCTGGATGATCTGGCCCAGAAACTCCTGGCCACAGGCTTAGGCTGAGTGTTCACGGGTGTGGCTCAGATGCAGCTGGATCTCCCTAAGGGGCCTGGAGTTTTTGGCCACCCTCGAGATCTCTGCGGAAGGTGCAGGGGTTGGATCCTTCGGCTCCACCCAATCATGTGGCCGTCCTGGCTCCGCCTCCGCCCTAGTTCCTGTTTCGGCCTCTGCTGCCGGGCTTCAGCCCCTGGGGCGCCCCGCCGACGCCTGATCCTGTTCTTCCTGGGCGCCTGCCGCCTGCATCCCCGCTCGCCTCTCCGGGAGATGGGGCATCTCCCCGGTTTGGGCTGGTCCTCCCGGGGTCCCCGAGACATCTCGGCCCCACCGTGACTGCCTGGTGCCGCCGCCCCCAGGATGAAGGGTGGAGAAGGGGACGCGGGCGAGCAGGCCCCGCTGAACCCCGCGGGCGATAGCCCTGCAACCTCAGCCACATACCGAGAGTTCGTGCACCGCGGTTACTTGGACCTTATGGGGGCCAGTCAGCACTCGCTGCGGGCGCTCAGCTGGCGCCGCCTCTACCTCAGCCGGGCCAAGCTCAAAGCCTCCAGCCGCACGTCTGCCCTGCTCTCGGGCTTCGCCATGGTGAGGGGCGGAAAGGGGATGCACTGGGTGGGAGTGAAGCAAATGGGTCCGCAAGAAAGGTCGGAGAAAAAGAGTTTTTAAGGGAGTAAAAGGAAACGAGAGGGGTGTGTGTGTGTATGTAAACAAGCGCCCGGGAACATAAACGGGACAATGGGAAGGATTAAGAAATCCCAAAGGTTGGAGTCAGGGAGGGAGTTAAACCAATCACCTAGGGGGATAGATATGGAGCAGAAAGGTCCAAAAGGCAGTGGTTATATGCGGTTACCCAGTGTCAAAGGTACCTCGCTCTCTAAAACTGGGTGGGGACTGTGTAAACTGGACGGTAGGGCTGGCGGAGTCTGAGAGAATTCACGCAAATGGAGGTGGGCCCATCCCTAGGAGGGTGAGCACTGCCTAGCAGACACAAAAGGGGGTTTAGGGTTTCCCAAGGTAGCTTTGAGAAGAGGAAGTCTCTTGGAAGGAAGCTGATAAGTGATTCCGGATCTGATAAACTAAAGGCGTGGGAAGATGCTATCATTTAACGGTCCCAGAGGGAGGAGTTAGCAGACACAAGATCTGCCTTCTCCCTGCTTGTGGCCAGCTGTGTGGCCTGTACAGCTTCCATCCCCTCAAAGGCCAGTGGGAAATCCATGGAGGGTGCGCCCCCTTGGGTTTGCCAAGAACCCGCCCCTGGATAAGTTCTTGTCAGGCGCCTCAGATCCCAACATGTCAAAGCGGGATACTCACACAGCAGAGCTGGCTTAGACAACAGGTGGGGAATCCGAGGTCCAGAGTGATTCTGGTACACTGGCTAGGGCATTCTGAAGACGAAGGATATCCAACGAATTAGGACCCACCTTCATGGCAGGAAGAAGAGAGTGGGTCCGAATGGTATAATCTGGGATGGGACTGCTGTGGAAGGGATATGAATATGGGGATGGGACACTAGGTGATTTGAATTAGTCCCCGCCCCTGCTCTGTGCCACAGCCTCTGTATTTGAAAGATGACAGCAGTCTCTATTACCAAGGGCTGTTCTAGGTCTGTGGGTTTCTATGTGGGAGGTTCAGGATCCACAGACTAGCTCACCTTCCCTGATGTTGTTAAGTGCTGTCAAATCAGTTCCGATTCATAACGACCCTGTGTAGGGTTTCTGAAGAGGGACTGGTGAGTTTGAACCACCGACCTTACAGTTCAAGCTGATCTTGCAGTCCAGCACTTAACCTGCAGTGCCACACTGATAGGCTGTGCTATTTGGGGGAAGAAACTGGTTCCCCTTCATCTGTGCCGAATAAAAAGGACAGAGAGCAGACACCCATGTACCTAGGAGGGGAGGTCTCATACCCCGGTCAGCCCCATGGTCCAGCCCATTCTCAAGGGAACAGTCTAATATGTTGCTAGACTTGAAGGTTGCTGGGGTGACAGCTTAAGGGACAAGGCCACTTCTTCAGGACCAAGGGGCCAGATGTGTAGAATTGGGGGAGAAGACTGGCTGCAGTTCTGATAGGAGAGAGGAGTGCTAGGTCAGCCTCTGGGCAAAACCAGACCTAAGACCAGAACTGATACCCACCACAGCTTAATTTCCCCAAATACTCAGTCCTGTCTTCCTATCGTCACCCACCATACTCTGCAGCTTCCTTCCCTGTCTCTCAGCCCCAAAGCAATCTAATGAATTGTACAAGAACCAAAGGTGGGGAAAGAACTAGAGTCTGGAATCCAAGTGGTTTGGGTTAGAATCGCAGCATTATATAAATTGCATTGATACCAGACACTGTTTAATGGTTTTGTGTGTATCATCCTTCTATTACCCGATGAAGTAGGTACCACTCCTACAGCCATTTTACAGACAAGGAAACTGAAGACCAGAGATGTTAAACACCTGCCCAAGGTCTCACAGCTAGTTAGTGGCAGAGTAAGCGCTGAACAAGAGGCAGTCTGGCTGTAGAGTTCAAACTGATAAAAGCCTAGAACAAGGTTATCAACTCAAATGTTTGCCAATACCAGTTAGGTAATATGAACATCAAAGTGGCTGGGTGGTCTCTGTGACAATCTAGAGACCCCATGACCTGTCCAAAGCACAAAGCCATGACAACTACAGCTGACTGATTGTTGCCATTTGGAATGTGAGCCTAGTATATGAAGGTCTTCCAAGTTTTCAAGAGGATTTGGCGATTGGGATATTAATGAGATCTCTGAGGTTTTAAAAATTGTCAACTGATTAAATTTCGTTAAGCACAATGTGGTAGCAAGCTGGCTTTGGTTCATGGTATGCTAATTTTCAACCTCCAGCCTAGGACTTTAGTGTTAACTTTGGTGTGGCACCACAGGATAAGCATTAGCCTACTAACCACCAGGTTGGTGGTTCAAACCCACTAGCCACTCCTCAGAAACCCTATACAGGGTAGCTATGAGTAAGAACCAACTCAACAGCACTTAGCAATAACAGCAAACACTTGCATCGTGCTGACTACGCATTTGACGCTGTTTTTGAATGCATGATATGTATTCCCATTTAATTTTCCCAACAACCCTATGAAGCAGGTCGGTACTATTATAAATGAATCTGTCCTTTCCAGATGACAGAATTGAGTCACAGAGAGAATTAAGTCACTTGCTCAAGATCATGCAGTTTGTCGAACTGAGATTTGAACCTTGGCAGCCCAGCTCAAGTCTGTGCTGCTTAGAATAGATTATGGATATTCAATCTGTCTCCTCTTGTTCCCACAGGTAGCCATGGTGGAGGTACAGCTGGAGAACAAGTATGACTACCCGCCAGGCCTGCTGGTGGCCTTTAGCGCCTGTACCACCGTGCTAGTGGCTGTGCATCTCTTTGCACTGATGGTCTCCACGTGTCTGCTGCCCCACATTGAAGCCGTTAGCAATATCCACAACCTCAACTCTGTCCACCAGTCACCACACGAGCGACTTCACCGCTATGTGGAGTTAGCCTGGGGTTTCTCCACTGCCTTGGGCACTTTCCTCTTTCTTGCTGAAGTAGTACTGGTTGGCTGGGTCAAGTTTGTACCCATTGGGGCTCCTTCGGGCACACTGGCGCCTGTGGTACCTACCTCTCAGGTGCCGGTACCTGGGAGTCTGCCACCAATAACCACCTCCCTTAGTCCAGCTTCCAAGCTCCCAGCAACCCCTGATTCTGTTACCCACTCACAAGCTGTATCATCTGAGGCCTGCCCACCCCAGCAAGTGTGTGGTGGTAGTGGGGCCCAAGGGCCAGGATGGCAAGCAGCTATGGCCTCCACAGCCATCATGGTACCTGTGGGGCTCGTATTTGTAGCCTTTGCCTTACATTTCTACCGCTCCTTGGTGACACACAAGACAGATCGGCACAAGCAGGAGTTAGAGGAGCTGAGTCGCCTGCAGGGGGAGCTGCAAGCTGTGTAAAGCAGGCATTGCCTCCTTCAGGGATCTGCAAGAGCCTCCCTCTGCACCCCCACCCCCCAGGGGTCTATGGACCTCAGTCCCTGCCCCTGGACAGAGCCACTTTCTGTGGCCACTCTCAGGTAGAGACCAGATTCCTGCCAGATTTGGGTCCTTTGGACTGGGCCTTGCATATTGCAGGCTCCCACATTCCCAGGGATTCTCCCTGTCTGTCCCATGGGTTCTATAAGCTCTATTTTATCATGGCTGGAGTCCTGGTGTGGTACTGTTGATTAATGTGCTGGAATGCAAAGTTGGTTTGAACTGCAAGGTCAGCAGTTCAAGGTCACCAGCTGCTCTTCGGAAACCCTCTACAGGGTTGCTATGGGTTAAAACCAGCTCAGTGGCATTTAACATTTTATCATGGTTAGGAGGGATAGGGGAGAAAATGGAAAGTTCTCAGTCCAAACCTCATGTCATAGGTAGAGGAAGACCCTGGTCAGACCTTGGTACTGACCCTCAGCCCCTTACCACTCCACAGAATGTAGAAGTCAGAAGGTTACATACCTACTCAGCTGTCCCTGAGGGCAGCTAACCCATGCTTTATTTTTATAGAATTTATTTTATGGTTGGCAGTTTGGGGGAAGTATTGCCCATTTCTGATTTGCATGGGTCCACACTCATACTTTAGTTGCTGTAGGGAGATATTTAGGTGCTTCTACCCCACCCATAGGGTCAACTTTTCCCAGGAGGGGCCTCCCTACTTTTGGAGGTTCAAGTTCATCCCGCTGTTGGTGACCTTGGCCATACGCAGAAAGGACAGGGATTTCCCCACTGCCCAAGGCCAACACTTACGCTTCTACTGTTTTTTGCTCTCCTGGATCAGGGCTGTGGGTCTTTGAAGATTGAGGGCCTGTGTGTCCATCTTGACTCCCTAGCAAGGGTTTGGGTGAGGGGGTTTTAAAGAAGATCCAGTCCTAACCTTGGGATGGCAAAGCTGTTCTGACACTGAATTCTTGATGTATCTTGTTTTGTATAATAAATTGTGTTTCACAGACTTTTCTGTAGCTGTTATTGGGGTGAAGGGGGGACCTCCTGGAACCAGGTGGCTTGTTCCTGACAGCCAAGTAGAGGTTAATATGTCTGAGGGCAGGAGGAATGAGTTCCAAGTACGGCCCTATCTGGCATTGGCAGGGACTAGGCATTTCTGAAAGGAACTCTGGTAGTATAGTGGTTATGGGTCAGTCTGCTAACCTCAAGGTCAGCAATTCAAAACTACCAGCAGTTCCGCAGGAGAAAGATGAGGCTTTCTGCTCCCATAAAGATTTACAGCCTTGGAAATGCTATGCAGGATGGCTATGAGTAGTAACCAACTCCATGGCACATAATCTCCACCACCACCAGGCATTTCTGGAGGTAGAGGCTGAGTTATTCCAAGGCTTTGAACTCATTCCTGTGAGCCTAGGGTCTTTAGCTCTCCTGTTGGGGATATAAGATCAAATTTCTTGAGTGGCTACTACATATAAGGAGCTTTTCATAGGTTGTATCATTTAAGCCTCATAAGTACATCAAGAGATAAGTCTTTATCATTTCCATTTCAGAGATAAGGAATCTGAGGACCTAGAAGGCTGAGGATCTTGTCCAAGGCCACACAGCTTGTCAGTGAAAGTGAACTTGGACAGATCTTGCCACCTTTGTGGGAATCTAAGAAAAGTAATTCATTTCAACTGGGACAAAAGACAGGCATCTGAGCTCATCACCTATGCCCCCATGTAAATTAAAAATTTCAGCTTCATTTACCTCACAACGTTAAACTATCTCAGCTCTCCAACTCTTATGCTGTGAGTTCTTAGACAAATACCCATTTCCTTTTACCTAAAATGGTGAATGTGCATGAACCAGGCTCCAAGGACCTTTCCTGCACTGTTTAGATATTTACTGTACTTCTGTGTGTCAGGAATTAATGTCTGTTTTTAAAGGAAGCGTCTGAAGCTTTATTTAGGTCAATGACTTTACCAAAATCATACATGAGGGCGTGATGTAGGGATAGCTGGAACATCCTCAGCTCAGGTAGGAGGGCCTAGGTGGGATGGCTAGACTAGGGTGCCTGCAAGTTGGAGAAAAAGGACTCCAGGGAGACTCCAGACCCAAACTTCTAGCTATAGGCCTAGTCTGGTGCTGCCTTCAAATCTCGGGGACAAAGAGACCACAGCTGAAAACGGCAGGCACTGGAGAATCAACCAGCCCAAACTCTGTTCCAATGTTAAGTGCTACCGAGTCAGTGTCGACTCAAAGGCCCCGTATAGGGTTTCCGAGTTTGAACCGCTGAATTTTCCGTTCAAACCGACCTTGTGGTCCAGTGCTCATCCGACAGCGCCACACCAGGACTCCGCAGTTCCAAAGGGTCTGTTGTTAAGTGCCATCCAGGAGTCGGTTCTGACCCCTAGCAACCCTGCATAGGGTTTCCAAGGAGTGGTTGGTAAGCTTGAACTGCCAACCTTGCAGATCAAACCGACTTTGCAGTCCATTGCATTAACCCACAGCGCCACACCAGGACTCCAAAGGGTCTATTATATTATTTTTTACGGGGCCCGTTTAAGGACCTTTAGGCCTCACCAGACTTTTCAGAAAATTCTGAGCCAGCCTCAATTTGACCACTAATGGTGGACTGAGCACTGACAAACTGTGACACCTCTGCAAGCCTCAGTCTCCCCATCTGTCATATGGGAATCAGCCTGTTAGAGGTCCAAGGGGGATAACAGTAGACAAACGATCCCTGCATTCTGTGCGGCGCCGGGTAAACGACCTGAGTCACCACTGCTGGTTGTATTTTTCCACTTCCCGGGCGCCCCTCCCAGCCGGCCCCGGTTTCGGTGGGTCCTACAGGAAGTGCCCCCGCTGTGCCGGGCTCCTTACATTCTGGCCACGCCTCTCTGAGCGCAGCGCCTTAGCCCCGCCCACATCAAGAGCTGCAAATTCGCCAGGCCCGCCTCACGGATCTACTCGGGCCGATTTTAACTTGGCTGCAATTTCTCATCGGACTCCGAGAGGAGCTTTGGGCCGTAGTCATGTTCCCCTGCATCGGAACTGGGCTGGTGTCTGAGTTGTGCTAGTAAGAAAGATCCAGAAAAAGTGGCAGACTCTGCCAATAGGGCTTGGCTAACCAGGCGTTATTTTCTTGCCTCTACCAAGTTGGGTGAAGGGAAGAGACGACTGAGGCCAGGACCCGTGGCGAATCTACGGGTTCTTGGACCTTTGGCCGCGCGAAGAAAGGGCAGGGAAGAGGAGCAAAGGAGCGCGCATGCTAGCCACCGATTCGCCCCGCCCGCCTGACGAATCTGCGTCTGTTCAACGCGCCACTCAAACCTCATCTCTGGCTGGCCGCCTCCTTTCAGTCCCGCCCCTCTCTTCTCAGGGACTAATCGCAGTTTTTGTTGCCGCCGATTCGCCAAGGCCTCCAGGCCGGAGCAGCTGGATAGGAGTAGTGAAGCCCACTCCTCGGGGGATGCGGCCAATTTCCAGGCTCCCTGGGCTACAACTCCCGAGCCTTATAGGGTGCCGGCCTCGCCTCGGCCGCTACCCTCGGCCCCGTGGTTCTCCCGGCGGCGCCCGTGGCGAAAGTGCGAATGCAGACGCTGTGCCCGCTGGGCCTCGCGCAGGTGGCTGTGGTGTTTGGTGCGCGCGCCGGGGAGGTGGTGGTGGGGGGGCGCCGCCGCCGCCACCGCTGCGGGGCCGGGTCTCGCGCTGCTACCGCCGCCGCCGCCGCCGCCGCCTCGCGCCGCTGAGGTGCCGCGCGGGGTGGGGGGAGGGGGAGCCGCTTGCCACGAGCGGGTAAGTGGAGCGCGTGCGCGGAGACCGGAGGGGGGGTGCAAAGCGCGCTGGGGCGGGAGAAGAGGGCAGCGACGCGCGCTACCCCCACTCCCTCTCCTGGATTGGGGGCCGAAGCCGGGTCTCGGGCCCGGTCTCGCGGTGTTTCCAGCGCCCCGAAGAGGTGCCACCTCTCGGCTAGAGGATCGGGGAGCTGGTGTGTGGGAGCGGGAGCCTGGCTTGGCCCGGGCCGCTGGCCGGTGAGGAGGCGGGAGGGGGCGGGGCCTGCAGGGGGCGGGGGAGGGGTCTTGTGCCGAAGCCAAGTGGGGCGCGCGCTTGGGAGAGCAGGATGGGAAAAGGGGGCGCGAGATGGACCTGGGGTGCTGAGGGGAGAGTTGAGAGGTGGAAGAGAATGGGATGCTGGGGTGAACCAGGGTACCTGGGGAAGCCACGAGTCCTGGTGAGGTGTGGATACGGGTGATGACAGAAACTGGAGTCTACTAGGTAGTTTGGTAGAAGGGCAACGCGGGAGTCAGGACTCAGTCCGGAACCTCCTTGCGTATTACTCTTTCCTAACAGTGTAAATGAGCAAAGATGGATCAGGAAGGTGGGGGAGATGGGCAGAAGGCCCCGAGCTTCCAGTGGCGGAACTACAAGCTCATCGTGGATCCTGCCTTGGACCCTGCCTTGCGCAGGCCTTCGCAAAAGGTGTACCGCTATGATGGAATCCACTTCAGTGTCAATGTGAGTACCCTGCGCCTTTCCATCTGGGGAGCTCTTGCCAGGCTTGGCTCCATTACCTCTCTCTAGCATTTAGATCGCCCATGCCCATAGCTTCCTTTCCTAACAGTGGGCAATCAGTACCCAGCTCGATTGCATATCGGTGGCAAATGGTCTTTCTAGAGCTCATCAGCCTGGCTTTGCTCTGAGCTATCTCTTGTTTGCTTTCCTTCCTAGGACTCAAAGTATATTCCTGTTGAAGATCTCCAAGACCCCCGTTGCCACGTCAGGTCCAAAACTAGAGAATTTTCTCTCCCAGTCCCTAAATTTAAGGTATGTGCCTGCTGGTCCGTCTCCTGGTATGGTGGAGAGCTGGGGTGTGTGAAGGATCCATCCTGACAGGATAGACTCAGAAGTAGCCCTGATGAAGAGATTTCCCTATGGTAGGGTAATGGCCAACTCTGATAACCTTTGAGGCTATGGGACTGAATTACTATGGCTAGGAGGTACGCTTATCTTCTAGAAAGGTGTAGTGAGACATCCCCTGATGACCAGGGGTGTTGACGTCTTGAAGGATGAGACAAAGACAGGTTTTGCTGCTCTACCTAAAACTACTTCTTCTGAAACAGGGCATCATCTGACAGTGTCCTGGCTAGATATCCTAATTCCTCAATAACTAAGGGAGGCGATATTCCACTGCCTCCCTGGAGTCCTGTTTCTCGTCTCTCATTTGCCACATGCTTGTCCATCTTGTTTTCTCATAGGACTCCCAGTCTCCTGTCTAGGCAGCACACTCATCAGGCCTTGAACTGGGCCTGGAGAATTGTTTCTACTCAGTTTCATTCACTGACTATTTTTCTTAAAATAGTTTGTGGGATTCCTTCACCCCTCTTTCTTCATTTTGTACACTTTCCTTGGATGATCTCTTTCACACCCATGCCTTCAGCTATTACCTAAATGCTAATGACTTCTAAATCACTGTTTCCTGCAAAGATCACTCTCTTGATCTCCAGACTTGTATGCTTGCTAGAGGGACAGCTCCAACTGGAAGCCCAACAGGCACCTCAAAATACAAAATTTGAAATATGTTATCTTTACCTTCTCAATCCTTTCATATTTTTTTCCTACCATCTACTCAGCTTGCACAAGCTAAAAACCTGAGAGTCATCTCATGATTTCTCTTTCTCTTCTCTTACTTGTCACTAACTCCTGCTGATTCTTCTTAAACATGTCTCCTTTCTGTTTTGATCTTTAGTCTCATTGCTGTTTTCCTGATACAGACCTCTGTATCCATTTCACCTGATTTCCTTTTCTCCATTCTCTCCTCCTGTTCGTGCTCCATACTGCTGTTGCTTATATCTCTGATTTTACTGCTGTCTTACTTTACCTTTTTTACTAAGCCCATGTTTTTAGGATTTGGTGTATATGATTACTGATCTGGCCTCATGTCATCTCCTGCCTTGACACTACAGACTTGCGTTCTATCCATACCAGCCACTTGCTGTTTCTAGAAAATAACAAGTTGTTCATGCCCTAAAAGTCCTTGTCATCCTGGTGGACTTCTATCTATCCAAAAAAAAAAAAACACAGTATAAATTACACCATCTTTTTGACTCCTCCTCTGATTCTACTATAAACAAAAGTTCCCTTCTCTCGGCTCCCAGACACCCTGTCCACACCTCTGCTGACACTTGTTGCATCACATGGCGATTGTATGTATCTCTTCATCCAATCTACTTTTCTGAATGATGATCACACACACACAGCAGTCTGTATTCCTGTCATCCCGTTCATGGGAGTCACTTTGGTAAAGTCTGAATGCATGTTTAGTCCCCTCCAGTAAACTGGAGTCCTGGTATGGGGCTGTAGGGTAACCACTGGATTGCTAACCACAAGGTCGGCATTTCGAACCCACCAGCCACTACTTGGAAACCCTATACAGGGTTGCTGTGAGTTGGAGTTGACTCAACGGCACTTAACGGGAGTAAACTAGTAAGTTAATTCTTCTGTTTGTATGATTCTTTTCATGGTTTTGCCATTATCTTGTGGTGGAAAGAATTCAGGGATGAGAGGGGATCAAGAAGTCAAAAAGATGGTGTAATGTAGTCAAAGAAATTTTTTTCAGCGGCCAAGGACTAGTAGCCAGTCTTGAGACCACAGACCAACTCCTGTCCTCTCCACAGCTGGATGAGTTCTATATTGGGCAAATTCCACTGAAGGAAGTGACCTTTGCAAGGCTGAATGACAACGTACGGGAGACCTTCCTGAAGGAAATGTGCCGAAAGTATGGCGAGGTGGAAGAGGTAGAGATTCTTCTTCACCCCCGTACTCGAAAGCACCTGGGTCTGGCCCGTGTGCTCTTTACCAGTACTCGGGGAGCCAAGGAAACGGTCAAAAACCTCCACCTTACCTCCGTCATGGGAAACATCATCCATGCCCAGCTCGACATCAAAGGTAAGACTCTCTTGCCTGCTGCCCAGGTTTGGTCTCCAGCAGAGGTTGTACATGCAAAAAATACCTGTTGGGGCCAAGAAAGTGGTTAGGTTCAGAATTCTTTGTCTGAAATTCTTGGAGTCAGATGTTTTTCTGATTTTAGAAAGGAATATGGGTTCTGTATGGTATTTTGCTTGTTATCTTCAGCAGGGTCTAAGGCAGCTCTCCATCTCAAACATGGCTGTAACCTATAAAGAAACATGAAAAGAGTCACACTAAGAAAAATTGACCAAACAGTAGTTAAATAATCTCAGGTCAAGTTTTGACACTAAGTTCCTGTAATAGTGGGTCTTTAGAAAGTTTTGTGGGTTTTAAAATTTTAGATAGGGGATTCGAGTGAAGTGGTGGGAATTTCTGCATTGAGCAGTAGAGAGGAGTGGGGTCTGTGGGGCCAGCTGTACTCTAGTGCCATCTAAAGGACGTAGCTGCAAGTTAGCATTAGCTCGTTTTCATGTGGGAATGAGGCCTAGTATTGCCAAATGACTGGACTTTCAAATACAAACCAGAAATGTAAATTTTTGTATGAAGTCTTATCATTTTAAGATACTGACTCCCCCAGTATTCGAGGTCGTTAATAGGGTAGATAAACAAGTGGGCTGGATTTAGCTCTCATGCCACCATATAGCAACTTTTAATTTACAGAATAAAGCCCATGGTGAATTTAGCATTAAATGATCTAGATGTGAATTCTGGTTTTACCACTGACTACTTTGTGACTTTGTGCAGGTCATTTTTCTTTAAGCCTGAAGATAGAGGCACTGATGCCCCCCTCTCCCAGTGATCATTCAAAGTAGTCCATGTAGACACAGTTTTATCAATCATGATGTGTTGTGCAATACGTTTTGTAGTGCCCATTAGGGCCAGCTGCCAGGATCCTAAAGATAGAGGTAGAAATAGAACTGAAGTCCCCAAATAAGACTCCAAGGAATCGTAGGAGACCAGAGAAAACAGGAATACCAAATCAGGAAGGCGCTGTTTCCATTTGACCCTGTTGGCTCCCATTTTTCTCCTCTAGGACAACAGCGAATGAAATACTATGAATTGATTGTCAATGGCTCCTACACTCCCCAGACGGTGCCCACTGGGGGCAAGGCACTGAGTGAGAAGTTCCAGGGCTCCGGGGCAGCCACAGAGACGGTGAGACACTTGTGGCTGCCACAATCCCAGCAATGTTGACATGATACTTGGGTGCCAGGAGTAGGAGCAGGTTCTTGACTTCCCTCTCAGGTACAGAAGAGTCTGGGAAAGATGACTGGATACTTCCAAAAAGCCAAACCAGTTGCTGTCTTCTCAGTTCCAATTCATGGCACCATCTTGTGTGTCAATAGACCTGTCCTCCATGGGATTTCCAATGACAGGTCCTTCCCAGGCTTTTTTTCCACAGTGCTTCTGGGTGAACTTGACCTTTTGTGTGGTAGTCAAATACTTCATTGTTCCTACCACTTGCTCAGGTGCTTTTAAGAGACGGTGAACTAGAATTCTTGGTTGGGGTAAGGGGATTCTCAGCAGTGACTGATCTTTTTCCACTTTCCCTGTCCCATTCCGTCTCTCCAGACTGAATCCCGCCGCCGTTCCTCCTCCGACACAGCTGTCTACCCAGCAGGCATGGCTGTAGTGGGCACCCCTGGCAACGGCACCCCTTGCTCCCAGGACACAAGCTTCTCCAGCAGCCGGCAGGACACCCCATCTTCCTTTGGCCAATTCACCCCTCAGTCCTCCCAAGGAACCCCCTACACGTCTCGGGGCAGCACCCCCTATTCTCAGGACTCTGCCTACTCCAGCAGGTACAGAGCAGACATCTGAGACCCCAGCCTTATTTTCTGGGAGCTGCCCTGGGAAGAAATAACTCAAGAAGGATTTGGAAACCAGTTTTCATAGTGTCTCTGTGGGTTCAACATAGACATCCCTGTCTTCAGAGAATTCACTCTAGCTCAGGACCCCAACACCATTTGAGAGTGTCTTTTGTGGGGAAAGGGCTTTATACCAGGGCTTGCCTGGGTAGCAGTGTGTCCAGCTAACTTCTCCCACCTTTTTCTTTAGCACCACTTCAACCTCCTTCAAGCCCCGGCGGTCAGAAAACAGCTACCAAGATTCCTTTTCCCGTCGCCATTTCTCTGCTTCCTCGGCTCCCACAACCACCTCTGCAGCCATCTCAGTCACCACTGCAGTCACCTCCACCTCCTCCTCCTCATCATCTTCATTGTCCTCGTCTTCCTCCTCTTCCTCGTCTTCTCATTTCCGTGGTTCTGACTCAAACTACCCAGCATATTATGAAAGCTGGAATCGTTACCAGCGCCATGCTTCCTACCCACCTCGTCGGGCCATTCGGGAGGAACCCCCTGGAGCCCCTTTTGCTGAAAACACAGCTGAGCGCTTCCCACCTTCCTACACCTCCTACTTGCCCCCTGAGCCCAGCCGGCCTGCTGACCAGGACTACCGACCACCTGCCTCCGAGGCTCAACCCCCAGAGCCTCCAGAACCTGGTGGAGGTGGGGATGGTGGTGGGTCTAGCCCTGAGAGAGAAGAAACCAGGAACTCCCCGCACCCAGCTTCACCTGCCCGTTCAGGCTCGCCAGCCCCAGAGACCACCAACGAGAGTGTGCCCTTTGCTCACCACAGCAGCCTGGATTCCCGCATTGAAATGCTGCTGAAGGAACAGCGCTCCAAGTTTTCCTTCCTGGCCTCTGACACAGAGGAGGAGGAGGAGGAGAATGGCAGCACAGGCCCCGGGGCTAGAGACACAGGGAGCGAGGTGCCTTCTGGGTCAGGTCATGGGCCCTGCACACCCCCTCCTGCTCCAGCTAATTTTGAGGATGTGGCACCCACAGGAAGCGGGGAGCCAGGGGCCATCAGGGAGTCTCCTAAGGCCAATGGACAGAACCAGGTGAGGCTGGGCTCCATGAGAATCTTAAGATCTGGGGGCAGGATTGGACCCTGCGGAAGAGGGAAAAGAATCAGATGAGAGAACGGGGGGGGGGGGGGTTAAGGAAAAGGCCTGGGACCAGGCAGCAGCTTTCTGTGAGCCTCCTTTCTTCCCTCACAGGCTTCCCCCTGCTCTTCTGGAGAAGACATGGAGATATCTGATGATGACAGGGGCGGCTCACCCCCTCCAGCCCCAACACCCCCTCAGCAGCCCCCGCCACCCCCGCCACCACCCCCTCCACCCCCTCCCTACTTGGCTTCTCTTCCCCTTGGTTATCCTCCCCATCAACCTGCCTACCTCCTTCCACCCCGACCTGATGGTCCACCGCCCCCTGAGTACCCCCCACCTCCTCCACCGCCCCCCCACATCTATGATTTTGTGAACTCCCTGGAGCTCATGGATCGACTAGGGGCTCAGTGGGGAGGGATGCCCATGTCCTTCCAGATGCAGACACAGATGTTGACCCGGCTCCATCAGCTGCGGCAGGGCAAGGGATTAACTGCAGCGTCTGCGGGGCCCCCTGGGGGAGCCTTTGGAGAGGCCTTCCTACCATTCGCACCCCCCCAAGAGGCAGCCTATGCCTTGCCCTATGCTCTGTACACACAAGGGCAAGAAGGCCGAGGGGCGTACTCCCGGGAGACCTACCACCTGCCTTTGCCTATGGCAGCTGAGCCCCTGCCCTCCTCAGTCTCGGGAGAAGAGGCCCGACTTCCTCCTAGGGAAGAAGCTGAGCTGGCAGAGGGCAAGGCTTTACCATCAGCAGGCACTGTGGGCCGTGTGCTGGCCACCCTAGTCCAGGAGATGAAGAGCATCATGCAGCGTGACCTCAACCGCAAGATGGTGGAGAATGTGGCCTTTGGAGCCTTTGACCAGTGGTGGGAGAGCAAGGAAGAGAAGGCCAAGGTGAGGACCAGGTCCTGGGACTGGGGAAACGAGCTCCATTGGTGGAAATACACCTCGCTTTTCCAGGATACACAACTCAGAACACGAAGGATCTTCAAAAAGTTCGTGGCAAAATCCCACTATCTTTTCATTCCTTTTTCCCACGAATTTGACGTTCCCTTGTAGAGAAGAGGTGATCAATGCAAGTGGAGAGAGACCATGGATGCTCAATGGGCTATGGGTGGGTGGGGAGATGGGGGCAGGGGAATCACAGCAGTAGATAAAACACAGGCCTGAGAATTCAGAAGCTTTGCCCTGGCTCCATTGCTGACTCTGCACAAGGCCCTTAAATCTCTAGGCTTTAGTCTTGGTTTCCTCACTTGTAAAGCTATCTTTATAGTGATAGTTGTCTCTTAAGGTTGGTGGACTGAGTGAGCAGACTTTGGGGAGACCACCTGTACGGGGATAGTACAAGGGGTGTGTGGCATAGATGTGTCAAGTGGGAAAGTGAGTAGATACATTGTGTATTCTTGGGGCCTGGGAGCAGTTCTAGGAGAGAGTACCTAGGTTGTAGGGTTCAATTCCCCTGCTGCTTACAGCCATTCCAGAACGCAGCCAAACAGCAAGCCAAGGAGGAAGATAAAGAGAAGACGAAGCTCAAGGAGCCAGGTCTGCTGTCCCTCGTAGACTGGGCCAAGAGTGGGGGTACCACTGGCATCGAGGCCTTCGCCTTTGGGTCAGGGCTACGAGGGGCCCTGCGACTGCCTTCTTTCAAGGTATTCAGATCTGTGGCCTTGCTGAGTGGGTTGTGAAGGGTCCCCTTCATTGGAGTAGGATGGTCATGAACCATGACTGTTCGAGACGAACCCTGTCTCTTTGTCATTCCCCAGGTAAAACGGAAAGAACCATCAGAGATTTCAGAAGCTAGTGAGGAAAAGCGGCCTCGGCCCTCCACCCCAGTGGAGGAGGATGAAGACGGTGAGTGGGAGGTTAGATGAAATAACAGACTGTGTAGATTCCAATACAAAGACGAGAGGCAGGGACATAGGGGTGGCCAAGGTGTTTGGAGATAGGGAGCCAGGTGAAGATTTTGATACTGGATGAAATAAAGCAGTTGCAAGTGGTGGGCAGAAGCATCAGATAGGGGTGTTTCTGGGTTGTCGTTCTTTGGTACGTGGACTTCAGTTCTCTGTATCTTAGTGCGTTCACCAATTACATAGGAATTGTGATTACAGCATCGAAAATCACAGAATTTTGAAATTAATCAGCTCATCTACCCAAGTTTATTCTCTGGGGTTTAAACTCTCCTGTAAGCTTCCTACCAGTTGGTCAGAGTCTGAGCTATTGGTCGACAGCTTCCATGACTGTGAAGCCCTTCTTCATTGAGTCAGATAAGCTTCCCTGGAGACCCATTGACCTTAATACTGCTTCCTTAGGCCCCTGTATATCAAGTCACTTCTCTCTTCCACCTTTCCTGGAGAAAAATGCAAAAATGCTTAGAGCCCCATAAAATGTTAGGTAATTCTAAAAGTGTTTGGGTTACTCTGCTGAGCTTCAAATTCTTATTGATGATATGAGGCTTATTTCGTAGGACTTCAAGATTAGCAACAGTGTATGCATGGCTCCTTGCATGGGGTTGGGGAATAGTGACTTCTTGTTGATGGGTCAGTTACCCTAACCACCCCTCACCTGGGCCTAGACCCTGAGCGAGAGAAGGAGACAGGAGAGCCAGGACGTCCAGGAACCAAGCCCCCAAAGCGAGATGAAGAACGAGGCAAGACCCAGGGCAAGCACCGCAAGTCTTTTGCTCTGGACAGTGAAGGGGAGGAGGCCTCTCAGGAGTCTTCCTCAGAGAAGGTGAGGGACCCAGCGCCTATTTCTTGAGTCTTTGTCCTGGCAGCTGTTCCTCCTAGAGGATCCATTGTCCTTTTCCGATTTACCCCTACTTGTCACTTTCACTAAGGACGAAGAAGATGATGAGGAAGATGAGGAAGATGAAGATGGAGAGGAAGCCATGGATACCACTAAGAAGGAAATAGAGGCCTCAGATGGTGAGTTTCTGTTGTGGTCCTTTCCTGAGCCCCCCTTGACTTCCCTGCTGGATTTTTCAGTTACCTCTGTCCTCTCCGAGAGCAGCTGATTTTTCTTAATCACTTACTATGAAACCTTGATTCATTGTGAACATGAAGCCCGATATCCAAAATGCTCCCTTCTGTTTCTCTCTTCTACTGCGACATGACTCTCCCTTAAGGAAACCCAGAAGAAGCGATTTCTTTTCCCGAGCCCTAGAGATACAGTAAGGCCTGTGCCACTAAGCTTTACCCCCGTCTCCCCATTCCCACGACTGCCATCAGGCTGACACTACTTTCTCCTTTTGTGGAATACCCATTGCTCCCATCAGACTTGTTGAGGTCCTGGGTTCAGTCTTCTTTTTCACCTCTTTGAGTCTGTACTCTGTTAGGCACTGTTACTAGGTATAAGGAACACATCAGTGACCAGGCAAATGTGGTTCCTGATTTTGCAGAGTTTGAGATTATTTGGAGAGATACATAACAAGCAAGTGAACAAGTGTGACATGCTTTCAGGAGAACGAATCAGGTTAGTGAGATAAGAGAGTGATAGGGTGGAGGAGTTAACAGGAAGATTTAGTCTTTTCTCGAGGACAGTCCAATGGAGGCCAGAATGCGACAATGATGTGCGGGTTCTCTAATCAATGAGCCCTGGGAGGATATGGATAAGTGAACCAGCGTCACCTGCTCAGAATGGAGACCGACCGTCAGATATCTGTTTGATCACCAATTCCTGGCACTCTTGCCTCCTGAATATTTCTTAAATTTGTCTCCTCCTTTGTTCCTGCAAGGAGCCACAGTGAGTTAAGCATTGGGCTGCTAATTGCAAGGTTAGTGGTTCAAACCCACGAGTCGCTCCTCAGGGGAAAGATGAAGCTTTTTGCTCCCATAAAGAATTATAGTCTCGGAAACCTCTACTAGGTTGCCGTGAGTCCAAGTCAACTCAGTGTCACCAGGTTTTGTTGGGGTTAATCCTGCTCAGGGGAGTGTGGTGGCTCCATAGAATAAGCACTAGACTGTGAACCACAAGGTTGACGGTTACAGCCCACCAGTTGCTCCACAGGAGAAAGATGCTTTTTGCTTCCACAAAGATTTGCAACCTTGGAAACCCTAACATAGGGTCACTATGAGTCAGAAGCGACTCAACAGCACGTAACAAGATGCCTACTATGGAGCAGTGGTGGTTAAGCATTTGGACTGATAACTGCTCAGGAGAAACATGAGACTGTCTGCTTCCATAAAGTTTTATAGTCTGAGAAACCCTAGGGTGCAGTTCTCTGTCCTAGATGGGGTCACAGTGACTGGGAACACAGTTTATGTTCCTGCCATTTTGCTTTAGTTGAGGTCGTGTTTACTTCTCCCTTAGATTTTTGCAGCAGTCTAGACTGGAGCGTTTTCTCTGTTCCGTCTTTCTCCTTCCAGTCTCCACTTAGGGATGACATCATCAGCCTTCCTGACATGCAGTGAGCCTGCTAGTTACTCTCTTCAGGTCTCTTTCTGGCTCCTTGTTCTCCACAAATTCAGTCTCCTCAGCCTGGCACTTATACTACGGCCGTCGGGAATCTAGCCCTTTCTTAGAGCTCCCATCTCGCCATCCTCTAGCCCCCTCTGGCCAGTACCACCTTCTACTCTAATTTATCCAGTTATGTCCTGGTGTGGCATTGTAGGATAAGCACTGGCGCTTCAAACCCATCAGTCACTCCTTGGAAACTATACGGAGTCGCTGTGAGTCAGAACTGATTTGATGGCACTTAACAACAACATTTCTCAGAGTCTCCAGAACTTATTCCTTGTGGAAGAAAAATTTGGGAACTGCTGACTTCGAGTTAAATAGGGTTTTCGTCAGGATTTCTAAGAATCCTTGCTTTGTTCTAGCAGGCTCCAGGAGGCCTGTAACGTGCCGCTGTTTCACGTGGTCAGCTGTCCAGACCCATTTTGTTAGAGTAGATGTTCACCAGTCTCTAAATGGCCATCTTCTCTTGCTTTTGACATCCTTCCTTAATGCCTGTGTCTGCTGCTTGCTGGGTTCCTACTTGCCCTTCTCAACATCAACATCTCTTCCTTAGGAATTCCTTCCCTGGCTCAGTCCTCCAGGCAGAATTCAGGCCTTCTGTTCTCCATCCTCCCTACCCTGTCACTTCACGTTTATCATGCTGAAGATTGTCTTTCTATTGAGTTCCTTTAAGATAGGATGCTGTCTCGTTCTTAGTGAACTTCTCAGTACTGAGCACAAAGCCTGCCTAACACAGTCCTAGTAGTAGGTTTGACCAAGTAAGGGGTCTTCCTTCTCGCCTGATTGTCCCCTCTGGATTTTCAGGCGAGGATGAGGAAAGCGGTTTGTCCCCCAAATGTTCTCTGTATGCTGACTCAGATGGTGACAATGATAGTCCATCGGACTCAGAGAGCAGCAGCTCGTCCAGCTCCTCATCTTCTTCCTCATCCTCTTCATCGTCTTCCTCCTCCTCCTCATCATCTGAGTCCTCTGAAGAGGAAGAAGAGGAAGAGGAGCAGCTAGCACCCAAGCCTTCAGCCTCACCGCCCTCCAGAGAAGACCCAGCGTCCCTTATCCCAGCGCCTATAGAAGAGCCTGAACCAGAGAGAGTTGCAGACTCCCCAGTCATCTCTCTCCCTGAACAGGAGAAGTCTCCCGCCAGGCCTGCAGGTGCGTGGGACAGGACTCTCAGTGTGGCATTTTGTGTATGTGTGTCTAAGGGAACAGTGGAACCAGTGTTTATTAATTCTGCCAGTGTGTGGCTTTGTTGGAGACATGCAGAAAGTTAGATAAAAGTTATTCTCTCCTGTCACTCCCTGTGGAGACATGTACAGCCTGACACAGCAAACGGTACTGCCATACTCGGTTACAGAGCCAGACCAGGGTGTTTAGCTATGTAAGTCAAAAAGGGTGGTCTCCTTCCTGTTAAGTTAGGGTGTCACAATGAGGTCTGGAAGAATAGAAGTGGGAATGAAAATTTGAGAGAAATTTAGAAAACAGAATGACATGGCTAAACTGCTTCTCAGGATTAGGAAGAAAGCTAGTGAGTTCAGTTGGGGCTAAGTATGAGGTGCTTCTGAGATCTCCAAGTGGAAACATTCAACAGGGAGTTGGATCAACAGATCTGAAGCTCTGGAAGGAAAAACACATTCCAAATGAGGACGTTATTTGAGAGTAATGAAGGCGGCGTGGGTATGAACACACTGCATAGCCTAGAAAAGTATATGGAATGAGAAGAGGGCAGGCAGTCCCAGTCTAAAAGTCCTATAAGAGAGAGGTGGGCAAAGGACAGCCAGAGAATGCGGAAGAGGAGAGGAGTAGGCAGCAGGGTGGGAAGGAAACATTTTGGACCCCCAGGGAAGGGAAATTGGCTTTAACAAGCAGAGAGTGAGCTGTAGTGTCAGGCCACAGGAAAGGATGTAAGATGGGACAAGGGTATGCTGGTTACAATAGTCCGATCATTGGGGACCTAACTGATTTCAGTGAGCACATAAGTGTAGTTTATGGGTATGAAGGAACCAAGGGAGATGACAGTGGATAGGTGGCTTGTCTTCAGAAAGGCCAGTCGACTCTTAGCTCTGAAAGGAGAAAGTTGAGGGGTGATGTGGTGCTATAGGACAAGCACTGGACTGCCCGCCAGCCGCTCCTTGGGAACCTTGTTTGTTGGTGTTAAGTGCCGTCGAGTAGTTCTGACCCATAGCGACCCTGTATAGGTTTCCGAGGAGCAGCTGGTAAGCTTGAATTGCTGACCTTCCAGTGCAGACAGCTTTGCAGTCTGGCACATTAACCCACAGCACCACACCAGGACTCCTGGAAACCCTATACAGGGTCACTATGCATCGAAACTAGTTGACAGCACTTAACAATGACTAATAATATTGTGTGCTGGTCTCTGCGAGTGGGATAATTAATATTAGTGACGCTGCAGGTTAATGTGCCGGACTGCACGGTCGGTGGTTCAAGCTCACCCGCCGCTCCTCGGAAACCCTGTGCAGGATGGCACTTTACAACAGCGCAGTGGTTATCAAGTACTCAGTGTGTGTGGGGCTGTAGGCTTAGTGGAGTTGCAGATTCGTTTTCTCATTCACATCTCACAGTATCTGTATTATCATTTCCATTTGAGGCTTGGTGTGAGGTACAGGCATGACTAAGGTTACACAGTTGGGAAGTAGAGACATGGAATTGGGGGGGCAGCCCTTGGCTGCCTGGGGCCTGGAAAGTTAGCGAGAAGAGAATGCAAGGTTGCTGAATAGCTTAGTCTATAAAAGTAGGTGAGGCACAGATGGACAGGAGAGAGGAGTATTGGGTGTGGGAGGGAGTGAACTCTTGATCCGATGCAAAGCTGTTTGAAAGCCGAGAGGCTAAGAGATTGCATGCATACTGGCCTCTTATTGCTTCAGCAGTGGGAAGGAAGGACCTTTTCTAAGAGGAGGTATGAATGGAGTAAAGGACCTTGGACAGTGGTGGTGGGGGAGGGGGAGGTGGGAGTGAGCATGATGGGACTGGACGTAAAGGAGGAGAGAAGGCACCAGATTGTGTTCGAGAGGGTCAAGGGATGAGGACTTGAGGATGGTGATGGTGCTATGAAGGGAGGGCTCCCTGGGGTCTGGCAGGATAAAGCAGGGAGCAAATTCAGGGATTTGGTAGAGGAATGGCAAATGGAAAGGGGATGTGGGTGAAGTGAAAGGATGCCGTTAACTGCATGGTCAGTACTCCTCCTCCGAAGAAAGAAGGAGCCTCTGCTCTACAGAAACCCAGAGGAGCAGCTCTGCTCTGCAGCCCTGTAGGGACATAGGCTATGTATGATGCAGTGCTAAAAAGGACAGTGAGGAATTTTGGTCAGAGGATGTTAAGTGTTAACTGTCAAGTCAGTTCCGACTCATAGTGAACCTGTACACAGTTTCTGAGGAGCGGCTGCTGAGTTTGAACCACCAACCTTGAGATTCAAATGACCTTGTGGCCCAATGCTTATCCTACAGTGCCACGCCAAGACTCCTAGTCAGAGGATGTTGTTGTTAAAGTGCCATCGAGTCGATTCCAGCTCATTGCAACCCTGTATAGGGTTTCTGAGGAGCGGCTAGTAGATTTGAACCACCAGTCTTGTGATTCAAACCGACCTTGCAGTTGAGTGCTTATCCTGCAGCACCACACCAGGACTCCAGTCAGAAAATAAAGATAAGCATATAAAAGAGTCCAAGATAGAAGCTTTCTGGAGATAATAAGGTCCAAGTGTGTGACTAGTGGAGGGTTGTTGTTAAGTGCTGTGGAGTCGTTCAGCGGGACCTTGAAGGGTAAGTAAAGGCAAATGAATGAGGGCCTTGGAGATGTGAGAATCTGGATGAACAGGTTGGATGCTGAAGTTTCCCCTAGATAGATGTCAGTGGTGGGGAAGGACAGGAAAATTCAGCAGATCCCATGGTGAGGATGCTGAACATGGCAGGGAGGAAAATCAGTGACCAGACTGAGCCTGGATACGGGACTGTGCGTGCCAAGGGCAGCCCATGCCCATCTCCTGAGACTGATAGTGCCTCCCTGTAAGTCAACAGAACCAATTTCAGTCAGTGTAAGTTGAAAGACTTGTTTACAGGAAATAGCCTGGTGGTAAAACCCAGAAACAAGAACCTGAACCAAGGACCTGGACCTTCCAGTCTGGTTCAGTCTTCTCTCCTCCTAAAGAGGGGTCTTTCCTCTGCTTCTCTGATCCAGCAGAAGGCATTCCCCCGGCCTACTCCTTAGATGGACTACAGACAGACCTGCTGTCTCTTGGAGCTTTGTCCTCAAGGAAATTTTAAATTGATCTGGCATGGGTCAGGTGGTCAACGCATGATGGCCCCGAGAGAGAGGGCAAGTCATACAACAGAAAGAGGTTTCTAGAGCCTCACTGTTGTAGCTCTAGGATTATCAGGAGAACTTTCTGGAGAAAGGTGGGAGGTGGACTGCCTACACAACTACACCAAAATTCTGAATGAAAGGAATGCTAGGTTTCCCTTGGTGCTAGGGGAAGAGGGAAAGCCATATGCTTATCTAGAGGGCATCGCGCGCTAGTTAGGAAGGATAGGTGTTAGGGTGACTGCTCCACAGTAGGGTGGGGAGAAGAAGAGGCCCCATTGAAATAGAAGAGCCTGGAACGAGTGCCTGGGGGCCTTGAGGTCTTCAGAGTAGAGGTCAGTACTGGCTGAGAACCCTGGCTGGATCCTTGGTGTTGCTCACAGTGTGGGATTGGGGGCCATTTGTTAGTCTGGACACGTACTGATCCCTGCTTGTTTTGGGCCAGGCCTTGTGCTGCCTTCCCGTTAGCTGGGGGAGTGGCCGTGTCAGGTACGAAACGGGTGACTCCAGAGGCAGACTGTGCAGCCTGCCCAGGTGTGCGTCTTGTTCTTGTATTTGTTGCCTATGTGGCCTCTCTCTGCCTCAGGGTCCTCGTCTGTAAATGGCATTCTGAGGGTTGTTATGGGAATTAAATAAGTTATGTTTGTAAAAGGCTTGGATCGGTGCTTGCCACAGAATCGTAGCTATGGATCTATGGCACCCAACCTGAAGACTGGTAATTGAGGACGCCCAGCTTTCTGGTGCTAACAGATATTCCCGGTATTTTCTGTGTGTGAGGAAGTCAGGGAAGGTGTCATAAAGGAGATGGCCTTGAGCTGCATCTAAATCCCAGGACCAGGGTGAGGAGTATTGCAAACCAGGGAAGAGCAGGATCAGCAGAGGGCCAGGCTCTGGAAAGGCCTGGCCTAACTTCGTGGGGACTCTGTGGGGCAGGTCTGTAGGGAAACAGGTCTCACCCAGGGAAAAGGGCTGTGTGCCTCTATGAGTAAAGTAGTTCAGACCCCCACACTAGGCACAATACTTGGCAGCCCCACCGTAAGAGGGCCGTGCTGTCTATCTGGGGTGATTTAGGTGGGCAGATGCTGCTGTTTGCTTAAAGACAGTGTTTGGTCCCGTCTCTGCCCTATTCCTGGGGCTCAGCTTAGACTCTTCCCACTAGGGCAAATCCCCACTCTGCGTGAGGGGAGAGGCACGTTGTAGAAAGATTTTATAACATAAAGATTCAGCTTCTTACGTTGACTTTTTTCCCTCTCTCCACTAAACTTAAGAATATTGTTTATACATGGTGGGGGGGTGAGGTCAGGTAGATTGTTTTACTTCAGATTTCGTTGCATGGTCTTTACAAAAGGCAATTGGCCGAAACTCTTGATCTGCATGCTGAGTTGTTGGACGAAGTTCTGTCTGTCACAAAAGGCTACAGGTGAAAAAACAAAAGGCTACAGGTCTGTGTGTGTTGTCTTGGAGCCCTTGCCACTCTGCACAGTTTGGGCTGTGCACTGACTTTGTGTAACTGGTCCCAGTTAAGTTCTGAGACTGTAAGCTCTCTGTGAACATTGAAAGTGCCTGTCACGTCAGGAGACGGTTGGTGTCAGTAACTAGATGTTAAAGTGAACCAGCAGCTGCAAACATCTATCAGGGAAGGCCACAATGCCGAGGGCTAGGAAAGTGGGTATGGTGAGTGTGAGAGACAGGCAAGCCACAGTGTCTGTCTGTCTGTCTGTCTGATTTCTGGAACGGAAGCTGAGAAGAGTGAGTGCAGCCTGCGCTAAAGGTGTAGGTTCCCTGTAAGTTGAGCCCTACGTCTCCTGTCCACAGTGAGTCGCAGTCTGATAATGGTGCAGGAATCTGACCTTCCCTTGTGTGCTTCCTTCCCCAGGTTCCACTGAGGAACCACCTCCCAGTGTACCTCAGCCTCCCCCAGAGCCACCCGCTGGGCTCCCAGCTCCTGCCCCACGTCCCGAGGAGCGCCCATCGTCTCCTATCCCTCTCCTTCCCCCACCCAAGAAACGCCGGAAAACGGTCTCCTTTTCTACCACAGAAGAGGCGCCAGCCGCAGAGCTTCCTCCAGTTGTCCCACTACAGGTCAAGTCTCCTGGCCCAGTCTCTCGCAAAGTCCCCCGGGGTGTGGAGCGGACCATTCGAAACCTGCCTCTGGACCACGCATCTCTGGTTAAGAGTTGGCCTGAGGAAGTGCCCCGAGGGGGACGGAGCCGGGCTGGAGGCAAAGGCCGCTGTCCTGAAGAAGAAGAGGCAGAGCCGGGAGCAGAAGTGGACCTGGCGGTGCTGGCTGACCTGGCCCTGACCCCAGCCCGGCGTGGGCTGGTGGCCCCACCTACTGGTGATGACTCTGAGGCCACAGAGACATCAGACGAGGCGGACCGCCTGGGCCCCCCACTCAGCTACATCTTCCTGGAGCACAACTATGCCCTGGCTACCAAGCCCATGCCTTCCACGCTGACCTCTCGGCCCCTAGAACCAGTTCCTGCCCCCGTGGCTCTCTTCAGCTCCCCAGCAGATGAGGTCCTGGAGGCCCCTGAGGTGGTGGTGGCTGAGGCCGAAGAGCCAAAGCAGCAGCCAGAGGAGGAGGAGGAGGAATCGGAGTCTTCGGAGAGCAGCAGCAGCAGTAGTAGTGATGGGGAAGGGGCCCTCAGGCGGCGCAGCCTCCGCTCCCACACCCGACGCCGGCGACCGCCCCCGCCTCCACCTCCCCCACCCCCACCCACCTTCGAGCCCCGCAGTGAATTTGAACAGATGACCATCCTGTATGACATTTGGAACTCAGGCCTGGATTTGGAGGACATGGGCTACCTGCGGCTTACCTATGAGCGGCTGCTACAGCAGACAAGTGGAGCGGACTGGCTTAACGACACCCACTGGGTCCATCACACAAATATCCTGATCAGGACAGGAAGACACAGGCCTGGGGGGCAGGGAGGGGCTTCCTAGGGTCTCCCAGCCAGGCAGTGTCCTCTTTCTATCACTCCCAGGGGCTGTGTTTCCCTCCATCTTGTCGGTTCAGTTCTCCTTGCTGCCTTCAGCCTGAGTCTTTGCCCTCTAGTGGCCAAGCCACCCTTTCTCTGCCTCAGGCCTGTTTTCTGCCTCCTGAAAGTTTTCTGGCTGAAAAGGTAGTAGAGAATCTGAGATTTGCATCTCTCCACCTTTCTGTCTTGCTCATGTTGGCTGTGCTCAGACTGGTCACCATTTCCGTGGCCTGACGGGGTGGGGCTATAGGGATCTGGCCAGTGAGGAACACATCCTCTTCCTTAACACCCTGCACTCACCAACCTGAACACTCCAAAACGCAGGCGACGGCCCCAGGACGGGCCCCGGGAGCACCAGACAGGCTCAGCTCGCAGCGAAGGCTATTATCCCATCAGCAAGAAGGAAAAGGACAAGTACCTGGATGTGTGCCCTGTCTCGGCCCGGCAGCTGGAGGGAGCAGACACTCAGGTGAGGCTCTGGCCCACTGCCTTCCCCTTCCCGGGATCTGTGCCATCTCTCACCCTGCTCCTGATTCTCCCAGGGAACTAACCGTGTGCTTTCTGAGCGCCGATCTGAGCAGAGGCGGTTGCTGAGTGCCATTGGCACCTCGGCCATCATGGATAGCGATCTGCTGAAGCTGAACCAGCTCAAGGTGAGGAGCCAGAGGCTCGGGAAGGCAAGGAGGAGACACCATGAGAGACTGAAGCTGCTCATGGCAGGAGTGGGCAGTCCCTTGGGGGCAGGGAAGGGAGGTGGGTGGCCAGATCATCCCTGTACTTGGGAAGTTTGCTGGAAAGGCAGGGAGATGGGCTGTGAGTGGTGTGCAGCAGGAATCTGTCTTTTGCTCCCCAGTTCCGGAAGAAGAAGCTCCGATTTGGCCGGAGCCGGATCCATGAGTGGGGTCTATTTGCCATGGAGCCCATTGCAGCCGACGAGATGGTCATCGAATACGTGGGTCAGAACATCCGCCAGGTGAGACACCAACCCCTAACCCCAGCTGCCTGTCAACAGACTGCATCAGATGCTCCCATTAGCAGTGTTTGGCCTACTGGACAAAGCTTCTCCTAGGTCCAAGGCCAGTGTAATCTGCCTTTTTTTCTTCATTCAACACTAGTAGTTTTAGGAAACATACTCATAATAGACTGTGAATAGTCACAGGATTATCTCCCTGTAATGAGTTGATAGTCTAGAGCGAAAGTTGTTAGGTGCCGACTGATAGCAGCCCTATACACAACAGAAGGAAATGTTGCCTGATCTTCCACGTCCTTACAATTGTTGTATTTAACCCGTGTGGAATAAGGACAGAGCACGTTGTTTGATTGGTTAGGAGAGAGGAGGTTGTGGGAACTCATTACCATGGGAACGCCACAACACCTAGCTAGAGAGTGTTCATTAAGCCAAGAGCTGAAAGTGTGGGGTGGTGTGTGCCTTTGGAGGTCAAAATGGCAGGTTGGAAAAAAGTGAGACTGGAGAGACAGGTGGAGCTCAGCTTCTATAGGTTAATAAATTTGGATGAGCGGATGAGAGATGACAAATACCACTGAAAGGTGGTGTTATAGCAGAAGACTTGGGAGGTTAGTTAAGTTCTCTTTGGCTGTAGTGAGGAGGGGTGGGGCTTGCAGAGACCTAGGTCAAAGGTGGCAGTGGCAGCAGAAGTCATAGAAAAGGGTGTGAAGTTCCGCGGACATTGGCAGGACTAAGCAGAGTTGATTGTGAAGAGCATGGGGGCATTGGTGGGCTGGCTTGAGCAGGATGGTAGGAGCATAGTAGGGCCACCTTGAGTGGAGGAGTAAAATGGAAGAGCTGTGTGATCCAGAGGGGCTTAGCATGTGAGGTTGAGATGCCCGGGGACTTGGAGTGGATGACACCAGCAGCTCCACTGAGGTGGAATTTGGTTGGAGTCCCCAACACTCAGATTGGGGGTGAAGTTTTGGAGGGAGTGAAATCAGCTCAGGAGAGCGTTTTAGAAGGCTCATCGACCCGGGTTTCCTGGGAAATAAAAGTTGCTCCTAATACAAAGTCATGGGCCCTAGCATGGACAACTGGTCTTTAGCACTGGCTAAAGGCAGCCAGCCAGTGCGTGCTTGTTCTGCATAGAAGGTCCTGGAAGAAGAGCTGAGTAGTTTGGTCCATAAAATGGACACTGTTGTTTGCAGAATGGCTCTATTGATTTAACAGTCTGAGCTCCACTGTGGGCCAGGTGGATGCTCCAGGGAGCAGCCAGTGCCAGAATTCCTTGGAGACCTGCTCTGGGTGACTTTGTGGCAGCCAAGGTTCAGGGTGGGGGCCTACAAGAGAGGACTGCTAGACACACAGTCACGGGGAGGGTCACAGCCTTGGATTGTTGGTGGCCGCAGGACCAGGGCAGGTCAGTGTAGGCCCTGGAGTGGTAGCTGGGAGACTTGTCTCGATCTCTAGCATAGGGGCTGGTGGGTTGGGCCAGGTTCAACAGAAAGCTGAGGGCAGGTCCCTTGACCATGGCATCCCATTCTGTCAGATGGTCGCTGATATGCGGGAGAAGCGCTACGTGCAAGAGGGCATTGGCAGCAGCTACCTGTTCCGGGTTGACCACGACACCATCATTGATGCTACCAAGTGCGGCAACTTGGCAAGATTCATCAACCACTGCTGCACGGTGCGCTGGGAGTCAGGCCAGAGGGGGGTCTGGGAGCCGGAGCTGGCCAGGCACAGCTCACTCTGCCCTCTCTGCCCACAGCCCAACTGTTACGCCAAGGTGATCACTATCGAATCACAGAAGAAGATTGTGATTTACTCCAAGCAGCCCATCAGCGTGGATGAGGAGATCACCTACGACTACAAGTTCCCGCTGGAGGACAATAAGATCCCATGTCTGTGTGGCACCGAGAGCTGCCGGGGATCCCTCAACTGAGATGGGGCTGCACTGGTGCCCCACCCCTATTTATTCTCCCGTGGTGCCCTGGGCTCCCAAGAACCCCCTAGCCTTAGTGGGTTCAGCAGGGCCCATAGGCCCCCATCGCTCAGTATGGGCTTAGGGGCTACCATTACAGCGAGGGAGCCTCGGTCCCCGGAGGCAGCTTTTTGCCTTCCTGTTGCCCCTGCCTGCCCATCCCCTAATTTTTTTTCTTTGCGGAGAAGAAGCTGTAAATGTTTTGTAGCTGCCAGCAGCTGTTTCCTGTGGAAACCTGGGGTGCCGGCCTGTACAGATCCTGTTCTTGGGAGGCTACACAGTCCCCAGGCTTTGTGTTAATGGGGACTTCCCCTTTGTACCCTGCGTGTACCCCACCCCAGTTAAGGGGTCTCGAGGGGGCAGTGGCCATGTTCTCCCCCTGGGGGGGGCCCTGCGCCCCCAGTCCTGGGGACTCCGTGCCTGGAACCCTGCCTCATCTTCTGTTCCTGCCAGACCCTGTGGGTCGCTCTCCACCCCCTGATGTCTGAGGCTCCTGGCTAAGCCAGGCCAGGGTGGTAAGGGGGTGGGCCCTTCCTGTTGGGCTGGATTGTACATATGTTAATAATGCAAACCCAATGCCACATTTTTATAATTGTGATTAAACTTTATTGTACAAAAGTGTGTGGTGGGTGTCTTTAGGAAGAGTGGGGTGGGCTGGGAAGGACACAGAAGATAGACAAGGAACAGTGGTGGCCTGAAGGTTGGGCTAAGTAGAGGGCCTTTGGGCAGGAGTCTAGACGTTCAGATCTAATGTTATGAGCCACCTGGTAGCCACACCAGAAATCCCCCACCAAGGCCAGCCAGAGCTGAGCCAAGGTCAGGTCCTCTTCACTTCTCAGAACTGCAGCTGCTGTTGCCCCAGCCTCCTGGGGAATCCAGCACCAGCAGGAGGGAAGCATTGAAGTCACCCTGCCACCTCTAACCCCTCAGCAGATAACCTGGCTCTTCCACCTTTTCCCTAGTTTTCTGGAACCAGGCATCAATGAATCATAGAATAGCCTAGTGCCCACTAGGGGGCATACAATGGCTCACAGAACAGCCTGGTGGCCACTAGGGGACGCACTGGGGTGAGAGTAGGCCCCAGAGAGGTGGAGGCTGGGCTGTTCCTGGAATGGGCCAAGAGGGAGGAGGAGCAAGCGGAAGGAGGAAGGTGTGTCACTGGCCGGCGACAAGAAAGTCCCTCCAGTGACCAGTTTGGATACAGTGGCTACAGGTAAGCAGAGACGAAGAGACGTCCTTTCTCCTAATCCAACCTTTTCCTCCTTCCTAGTCTCACTTCCTGCCTTCCCCAGCTCCCTGCCTCCCCACCCTCCCTTTGTCCCAGAGCCCTTCTACATATCCCCACCACGTAATCCCTGACCCTTCAACCTGACCCTTCAAACCGTTACCCTTCTATCTCAGTACAGTAACTCTGTAGTTGGCAAGTCAGAGGCCAGTGGTGGGGCTGCTGTGGCCTTCAGGTGTAGCTCTGGCCTGGGTCACTGCTCCAATCCACAGAGCCAGCAGAACCCCTTCCAGAAGTGGCAGGTGGTGGCAAGGTAACCCAGGTGAGCATGGCAGGTGTGGCCCAGGCCCAGGAGCTGGTCTACCTAGTCACAGGTGGCTGTGGCTTTCTGGGGGCACATGTGGTGCAGATGCTGTTACAGCGGGAGCCTCGTCTCCGTGAGCTGAGGGTCTTTGACCTACACCTGAGTCCCTGGCTGGAGGAACTGAAGACAGGTGAGTGTGGTGTGGAGGGAGTGTGGAGTCCCTTTCCCATTGCCTCCCAAGCCAGGCTCCTCATCCCTGTTGTGGAAAACATGATGCTTGCTTATGTTCAGTCCACATGCCTGGGATGAATGAGTCACAGTAGGAATAAGTGGCTCCCAAGGGTGTAGGTTGAACCCAGCAGCTGTTTTACGGTGGAGCTCTGACAGCGCCTCTGGTCTCTCCCATCATCCCCCACCAGGGCCTGTGCAGGTGACTGTCATCCAGGGGGATGTGACGCAGGCGCACGAGGTTGAAGCAGCTGTGGCTGGAGCCCACGTGGTCATCCACACAGCCGGGTTGGTGGACGTGTTTGGGAGATCCAGTCCCAAGACCATGCACGAGGTCAACGTTCAGGGTGAGGGACCTGCATAATGACCCCTGCACATGTTTGTTCACCCCCTCTGGCCTTGACCTCCTATGACCATCTGTCCTGTGTATGCAACAGCTCTGCCTGCTGCAGTTGTCCCTGGGTCTGGGGAAGGAACTGTGAACTCTCATCTAGATGTGGGATGGGAAGGAGGAAGATACAGAAAGGGAGGGAACCTGGGCTTGGACACACCCTTTCCCCTCAGGGACGAAGAATGTGATCGAAGCTTGTGTGCAGACTGGGACTCGGTTCCTTGTCTATACAAGCAGCATGGAAGTGGTGGGGCCCAATACCAAAGGTCACCCCTTCTACAGGTGAGCTGAGGTCCCTCCAATGTTTGAAGAGCTCCAGCTTCCCTGGGCATTAAGTCTTCCCTCTTCCCACACTAGGGGCAACGAGGACACTGAGTATGAATCAGTACACTCACATCCCTATCCCTGCAGCAAGGCCCTGGCAGAGCGGCTGGTTCTGGAAGCAAATGGAAGAAAGGTGAGATTGAAGAAAATGAGGTGCAGAGATGGAGGTCAGGGGGATTACCAGGAAGTTCCAGTCAGAGGCAGAGCGGGGGCTCCCTGCACCCTGTGGTGCTGTAGGATAAGCACTGGACCTTAAGGTCGGTTTTAACCACAAGGTCAATGGTTCAAACTCACCAGCCACTCCTCAGAAACCCTATACAGGGTGGCTGAGAGTCGGAACCAACTCAACAGCACTTGACAACACTGTCTTCAGCCTTTGGAGACTGGGAAGAGGCGCAGAGCACTGAAATGTCTTAGCAATGCCTGCCATTTATCACCAGGTCCTCGGGGGACTGCCCCTGGTGACGTGTGCCCTGCGCCCCACGGGCATTTATGGTGAAGGTCACCAGATCATGAGGGATTTCTACCGTCAAGGCCTGCGCCTAGGGTGTCGGCTCTTCCGGGCCATCCCAGCCTCCGTGGAGCACGGCCGGGTCTACGTGGGTGAGGCCTGGGCGATGTGGGGGAGGCAAGGTACAGGGCAGAAGGATCTGCCCTGGGAGGGGTAGTGTATACACGGACCAGCATCAAGACCACGAGGAAACAGGACTGTACAGCTTGGGAAGGCTGATGTAAAAAATGTATCGCTGACTGAGGGTAGTCAAGGGGGCAACATCTCTGTAGGTCCGGAAGAAGGGGTAGGCCCAAGAAAGCAAGTGGCTACTGGGGCCGGGGAAATGAATAGCATCTGTCTGGGCCCACAGACGGGGTGGCATGTACATGGGCTCACCCCAGAGAAAGCAGCGTCTACACAGTCTCAGGACACTAAGAGGCACCTTCCTCCCGTTGGCAGGCAATGTGGCTTGGATGCATGTTTTGGCAGCCCGGGAGCTGGAGTCCCGAGAGCAGCTGATGGGCGGCCAGGTGTACTTCTGCTATGACAAATCACCCTACAAGAGCTATGAAGACTTCAATATGGAGTTCCTGGGCCCCTGTGGACTGCGGATGGTGGGTACTCGCCCGCTGGTGCCCTACTGGCTGTTGGTGGTCCTGGCTGCCCTGAATGCCCTGCTGCAATGGCTGCTGCGGCCACTGCTGCTCTATGCACCCCTGCTCAACCCCTATACTCTAGCCATGGCCAACACCACCTTCACCGTCAGCACCAACAAAGCCCAGCGCCATTTTGGTTACGAGCCCCTGTTCTCATGGGAGGACAGTCGGAGCCGTACAATTCGCTGGATGCAAGACACGGAGGCTCAGGCCAGTGATGGCAGGGCTGGGAGCTGGAGGCCTGGCATGGTCCATCCGTCCAGGTCCTGAGCCTCCAGATCCTGGGTGGGGAGGAGTATTTACATTCTAGAGCAGGAGGCTGGCCTAGGGCCCCCCACCTTTGAAATCGACGGGCCTAGAAACTTCCAGGACTTAGCTCAAGTTATAGAGTAGGGCATCTTCACTTTAAACCCAGGCCTGGTGACTCATGGGTAAGAATCTGACTCCCTGGAATTCTCCATAGCCCATTTCTGACTTTTCATACATGGAGTGGGCAGGGATTTTTTCTGACCTCAGGCCTGGATTCAGAGTGAATCTAGCTCTGCTCACTACCTTTTTCCCTCCTGATTTGGGGGGCGTGTCATATTCCCATTGTTTTTGGAAGATTGTTACCTTTATACATGTATCCTTAACTTGCCCTCCATGACAGCTGAGGAAATCCATGCAGCTTCATTTCTTCCCACCTTACCATCCCAGCACAGTGTCTATAATTGTGTTAGATTCGGCCTGTAGAGGCCCCATTAATGCTGTACCTGCTCAAGCTCTGGATTAAAATTCCTTTTCTAAGCCTGTGTCCATCTGCCTGCCCGGCTTCCCCTCGTCCACCATAACAGCATCTATCCCTCCCCACGGCGCCCCGTCCCAGTGGGGACAGAAGGATGTGAGCACACAGTAAACCCGCTGTTGGATCGGTTGCTATTTCTCCCATCCCACGGGGCTCAACCTGGCCCAGGGTGGGGGTGAGGGGCTCTGAGGACAGGACATGCAGGGCTTGGGGGTGAGGGCAGAATTTTCCTGTGTTTTATCCGTTTGCAACTTGGTCACCAATAGAGAGAAATGGGACTCTGTGGACTAACAGGAGAGGGTGGCCTGGCCCTAGGCCCCCAGCCAGGCCCCAGGAGTCCTGTCCCTTCCAGGGAAAGGATGGAAACAGCTCTAGAAACCAACGGAGAAACGGAGAAGGGGCCAGGGGCTCAGGTCAGCAAACAAGGCTACATCACATAACACGCCAGCAACACAGAAACACACACCAACACACAGCTGCACAGCAGGCAAGGGGTGGGCAGGCGAGAAGGGAGTGGGGCCACCCATCTTGTCCTCTGTGGGGTGGGCTGGAAGGAGGCAGGGTGAATGCATAGAACACATCATATGTATACGCTCAAGGCGTGGCAAGAGCGTGCATCAACCCATGGGCACATGGGATGGACACGCAGTGTGCTTTGTGAGAGGCAGGGCTGGGATGAGGGGATGAGGGGGCATAGAGCTCTGGCCAGGCCCAGGACCACCACAGGGCACACATGGATTTGATGGTGGTACGGGAATGGAAGGTGGACAGCACATTTGTCCGAGAACATGCAAAAGACACCAGCCCCCAGACAACACTCCAGGACACAGACAAACGTATAGCAGCCAACAGGCAAATACATCACAATGTGTGAACTCACAGAATGTTTGGGCAGAGCAGACCCGCAGGGTCCCCTCGTCCAAGTGAGGCCGAGAGAGGGCAGCTGCAGGCCTAACACTACTCAGGGAGGTGGCAGTAGTCTCATTCCAGCCACAGCTCCACCCTCCTCCTTGTGTCCATGGGACCTCTGGAAATACCTGGGCTGAAAGGGGACCCTGACTGGGTGGCAGGAAGAAAGAAGTGGGTATTGGGGCCCATTCTGATGTTCCCAAAGGAGCCTGAGATGGAGCGGGAGGACTGGCAACCAGACACCAGGGCAGACTTCCTGTCTTCAGAAGGGCACTCTGGGAATGGGCAGGTCAGCTCTCCTCCTCAGGGAAGCCAACCTTTGGGGCTGCACACGTGAGCACACTCACACGGGCCAGAGTGGGAAGAGGGAGGGATGAGCTGGTCTGTCTGAGCTGGGGTGAACGGTGGGGAGATGCATGGGAATGCTGGGAAATTACATCTACATTCTCTCTCTCTCTCTCTCACACATACACACACACACACAAACACACACACACACACACTTTCCCCATGATATGGGACCCTGAGAAATCCACATACACACACCCCAAGTCCCTCACCTTGAACATGTGCACACCTCACCCCAGGGCAGGGGACAGTCATGCACTTGTGTTCATAGGTCCATGTTCCTGGTTTCTAACATTGCCCCCTGCCCTGCACACTTCTTACCTGCCACCAAAACCACAAACCCACCTGGTTGGCCGAAGAACTTATGAGTGTGTTTGTCTTAGTCACTATGTAATGAGGGATGAGCTAGTCCTTTCCTTACCATCAGGAGGCCAGGACTAAGTCCTACCCCTCAATCTCATTCTCATTGGGGGGAGTTAATCCATCACTAACCTTTAACAGGAGAGGTGTCCAGGGGATGGGACCTAGTCTGCCCTGAGTGGCTGCTGTCAAATAGATCGCTCCACTATGTCCGAAATAAAACAATTCTGAGATAGAGTCCTGGGGGTGAGACTGGACAATGGGAACAAACAGCGTCCCCTCACAGGTAACTGTGGGTGGTGGCGCAGGCAGGCAGATCTGTCTAGGGCAGCCCTCCTCAGCGACATTGCCAGAAAAAGCATCTCCAGGAGGCATTTGTGCACCCATGGGTGTGGGCCTGTCCAGTTACCATGCCCATGGGGCATGCTCGTGTGTTCCAGCCTATACGGAGGCACCTGAGTTTGATCATCTTCACAAGTCTTCCTCAGCCTTGGCTTGCATGAATGCACTGAGCTGTATCAGCTTGCACAGTGCCAGTCTCTCCACTGGCACAGAGAAGATAAGGACCAGGGCATGTGTACAAGAGCCCCTGAAGCCTTGCGGGCAGAGCTCAGTTGCCCAATATGGATGGATCGACATGTGTGCTCTTAACCACATACTGGTAAGCAGCTTTTGGGGTGGGGCAAAAATATCTAGACACACAAACCCAATGGGTTACAGAAAAACGTGTGTATGCAGAGTACACAGCGGGGCAGAAACACACTATGTAGAGAGCTCCACTCTCCCATGCACAGCCACACTCATGCCTTCTAGATAGCATAGAAATAGAGTTCTGTGCCCACTCAAACAGTGTGGCAGGGAAAAGATCTATTAACACTTCAGGCACGTTCTGAGACACATGTCCCTCACACCAGTCTCTGTCACCTGTCGGGGGAAACATATATACACACACACCACACATATCCAGGCTGAGCTAGGTTAGTTACATGCGTATGCATCCACTTACCTCAGCTGAACCCCACAGGCTCACAACACACACACACTCTCTCTCTCTCTTCTCTAGGGCACATAACAGCCCAAGAAAGTCTGTTTCACATCCCACTGGGTGTCCAACATGGCCTGTGTGCATTTGGGAGACCTGGACCCTCAAAGTGTGTAAGGATACATGGGTACACACAACCTGCCCATGTGTAACAGACACAGGGGGTGGGTGTTGGTGGATGAAGTGGTGTTGCATTAGATTCAAACACTCAAACATAAAATTCCACATACACAAACACTGAAGTCCATGGATCTGTGTACACACACACACACAGAAGACAGAGCAGAACTTGGTGGGCTGCTGTGTTCTACTCAACCAGTCTACACAACACCCCGGGGGAGGGGGGAGTCAGGCCACACACAGACTTGAGGTGGGGCAGGAGGGGCCAGTTGGCGCATCTACACATGTACACGCACACGCTGGGGTGTCCACACGTCTCAAGCATGTGCTGGCGGCATGCATGTCGGTGTGCATGTGTAACCACGCCTGCTGCTATCTACGTGCGGGGGGGGGGGGGGGGG